GCGTTGACGGTTTGTCCAGGAGGAACAAATTCATGGTGGACGATGCCTTTGATGTCAAAAAAGACAATGAGCATCGTTTTCACTTTGGATTTGCTCATTCTTTACTTTTTGGGCGAGGAGACGCCGTCGTGTGCCACACGGAAGATTGCCTCTTTGTCTCGGGATCATACTCGAAGATCCACGACTCGTCACCTGTGATTACGTTATTCAAAAATTGGGGGTCACTTTCACACATGTTCAAATTTTCTTGGCACACTTCCACTCGCCCCAATTTCTGGTCGTCAGTGAGCACTTTTGGGACCATCTTCGCGCACACCTTGCGCATGTTCAAATGCTGTGTCACAATGTCATGAACCACAGATTTTGCTAAACTCAACACCTGAGCAATTAAACTTAGTCGACGGTCTGAGTTCAAAACTTTGCGCACACGAGTCACATTATCGGTGTTTGTCGAAGTCGAAGGTCTTCCAGCACGGTCTTCATCAGTACCTCTTCCGGGCCCTCCAAAAAGGCCTGGGGCCACCGAAACACACCACTTCTTGCTAAAGCAACACCTGGGTAAGCCTGCTTGATCATATCAAACGTCTCTATCGCAGATTTACCGAGTTTCACACAGAATTTAATCGCGTACCTCTGCTCTAACGAACGCTGCATTTTTGGCTTGCACCACTCACAGAAACACGTCGCGCGAAAATGCCTGTCCTGACTCTCCAAGTGCTCGGAGACATCTGACCAGCCGCTCATTCGTTAGCTAGGAACGCCCTCTACCGAATCCAGTCAGTGCGCGCATGCTCCGAAGTACAGTCATGGCGGAAGAAAATGACTCCTATTACTTTCTGTCAAACCCTGTACAAATAGTTCGCCAAAGCTTGATACATCTTCGTCCTATACGCTGATAATAGCAGAAGCCTCTACGCATCTAGTCTACACTGAATGACAGTAGCCGATCTATGAACGGATAGATGTCGCTCACCATCATTAGGACTCAGGACTCAGCTGGAATACAGGGTGTTATCAAATCTACTAGCAATGATATGCTATGCAAGATTGCATAAATAGATGCATGCTGAACTGATTCTCTTTGCTTTCCGTCTGTGTGACCAGAGCCAACCGCATACAACGTTGTTTCTTGCTTCTGAGCAATGATCAGTATTGGTATAGGTCTAATGAGGGATTTGAATTACCCTGTGGCTTTCATGTCAATCATCTCCATGTTGTCCGTGTGGAGGGGGTATGCCTATTCCAGACAGTTCTGAGCTATACTGGTTTGCATGGTGCTATATTAAAATTTAGAATGATGGCTTCGTGCAATCTCAGCATGTTTACAGGACCTTTCAAACTAATGCAGTAACATACTGTATAGGAATGTGAAAATGAAAAGAAGCGTCACCTGTAAGACAGATAAATAAAATATATTGTCAATTGGGACCAACGAATTCGAAGAGATGATGAGCCAATCCTATATGCTTAAATTGTATAGTTTTAATGCATACTTTTGTCTCATTTGTTTACCAATGCCGGTCAAAGTGACAGCATTGTAATAACATAATAATAATACCGGTGGAAATATCCATCTTCATTAGGCTTTTTCTTCAAATCATCTAACACCACAATTATCTGCAAACACTATGACAAAATTACACTAAATATACCAATTTAATGGCAGAACCATCGAAAAATTAACATATCAAGTCCACTTTGATCCTCACTTGGTTGGTACCGAAACGGATTCAATAAAGAAAAACATGTAATTTGATTGGCCAGACAAACATGAGAGGCTATCGATATAGGTCTAGTCGTGTAGAGAGACAAAAAGCAAATAAGCGTAAATCATATCCACATGTTTGCTTTTCGTTTGTCTCCACACGGCTACACCTATGGATAGATAAATATGCGTGATTGTAATGAATAGCATGCTGATGATTGCTAAAAAGCATGCATCGACGTTCTATGTGACTGATTATTGTGACAGAGGCAGAGTAAACAGATGCAGTTCAGTCTTTGCCTTTACTGGATATGACCTACTTTTAAAATTTAGTTGACGAGAAAAACATGTCTCTGACTTAACTGTGTTGGGATTTAAAAAAATTTAAATACTCTCTTCCTCGTTTTACATTGACAATAAATCCATGGATTTCTTCATGAATTGAGTTAATGGCCAAATTTCAAAAGTGTAAAAAAGGGAATTTGACGTCTAATAAATTCATGAAGTTCTTCGTGGATTTCTTCACGAAATTACAACTTGTTCTAATTTTTGCCAAATTGGACGTCAAATTCCATGCCTTGTTTTTCTTTCCATATATTGTACAACATCCATGTATAGAACTCTGATAACTACAAGATTCCGCAATATGGTTTCTGTTTGTGAGATTCGCCTCAAAATCAGAACCACAAGAGACATCAAAGGTCAAAATGTTCCTAGCAAGAATTGTTTATATGGTTAGCAGCACTGAGTGCTGACAGATAATCCATAAATTTAAAACGACTATCAAAATATCATCTGGTAACCATAAAATTGAAATAACTCTTATCAAATTTTGTGTCCTCAGAAAAGTGGCGTTAATCCACATATCGACCTGCGGGCCTCCAACAACATCGTCCACATCCATACGTGCGCCGACAGCGCCCGCATGCTCATGCAACTCATCAAGTACTTTGCCTCTGATGGAGACCTGACAAAGCCGCAGCCATCAGAGGACGTGAGCGGCAGCCCCAGGAAGCAGTCCAACGAGCAGGAGTTGATCACGGTCGAACCGCAGGGATTCAGCAAACTATCGGACAGTCAGCACGAACATGTTAATGAGATGATAGGGGAGGCTATGAAGGAGAGCACGATTGTAGAAGGTAAGAAGAAAAGCCAGGCTGCCTAGGTAACAAGCAGCCATGTCAAATACACCGACCATTGGTCGAATAAGCAATTTGTGTGTATAAATAATATAGGGTGTCTCAACAAAAGCGCCGGATTTGAATTTGCCGCCATTTTTTTGTACAAATGGTATGTTGTTTACTTGATGACAGCTGTCATGTCCAGACCAAAACTCACTACAAAAATTACGCAAATTACGTACAATTTTCGGTCGCAATGTTGCGTCAAACGAGTCCACAGTTCGCCGTTTAATTACAAAATTTGAGACAAAATTCACGTTGCTGAATGTGAAGACCACTGTATGTCGCCGTCTTGGTCGGTCCCTCAAAAATATAGTCGCAGTGCGGAAAAGTGTGGCGAGAATCCAGGCACTTCTTTGTCGGCACCGTGGCCAAGAATTGAACCTTACCAGACCCACTCTGTAACGAATTTTATCTGTGCTTGCATGCGTACAAGGTTCAACTGACGCAAGAACTCAAGCCAACGGACCATCGTTGATTGGGCGCTGGAGCACCACCATATTGATGCGGTACGGGTTCGTCAGATAAGCAGAACTGACAAATTTGGGGTTCTGATAACCCTCGTAATAATCGAACAACCAACCTTCTGACGATCTCTTGTTTCACATGCCAGCAGCATTGCGATACTATGCAAAACCTTTTGATTCGTGGGTGAAGGGCAACCTACAAACCTGATTTGAAAAAATATAGTTGGAAAATATATGCAATAGAAAAAATAATCTTTCGGGGGTCAACAAAGTAATCAGTTGCGGATTCCTAGTTTGCGCCCAGGCGTCTGATTTGTTTTCTTCTTCCAGAGTATTTTTTCTCAGACGACGACCTACCACCAACTGGTACTAAAACTGTTCTTCTTTCCCGACGAACATCACATACCTCCACGTCCAGAGCCCAAAGTAAAGCCCCTGCCTCAAGTTACCAGCGAACTGGGTGACCTGTCCAAGCGTCCCGTTCAAGGTAGCGATACTGACGATGAGTTCTGCTTTGTAGGTGGGTAGAATATCAGACACGACAAAGCAAATGTCATTTACAATTAGAGTAATTGACATATTGCGAATGTGTTCAAGATTTTTAAAAAACGTTTAATATTCTTGTAGCTGAAGTCGTTAGTTGCTTAATGCTCAATTGATCTCTTATAGGTTGCATTAGTAATATTTGCTAAACATGGGGCAAAAATGCAGGGCAGCTAGAATGCATCTTCCATCTTTTTCTTATATACTACCGGATCTTTTCAATATGCCAGTGTCATCTCTTATTGGGTATATCTAGAAATTGTTTCCATTCCCGTTTTAAATGTATCCTATATTTTGATCGATAAATTTTGAAAAAACTACCGATACCGATATATTAGAGGGCCGTATTGGCGTTATTGGACCATCGGCCGTTCATTCTTTCCATCCACAATCGTGATCCTGTTAGTTCATACAGTGACAAGTAGGCTTGTGTAAGTTGTTCTATTAGTCAACGTATTAGTCCTGAAGATAGCTATATTCGCACGTCCAAAAAATTATCTGAGATAAAATGAGATAACGTACCATCATCTATGAGAATTTGTCACAACTATTTCTCTATGTGTCTCATAGAGGGCGTGTCTACATGAACATATGCAAGCATACAGGGTGTTCATTTGAAACCACGGATTTATCGAAAACTACTGATTAAAAGGAAAAACGCCGAGACACGTCAAAAGGTTGTCAAGGGGGACAACTTTTAACTAAAAAACTACTTCACCTTCTTTCACCCTCGGCCCTCCATGGTCATTCCCTTAAAAATTTTAAATGCGAAGAGAGATGCAGTAATAGCTCGTTTGAAAGGTCTTTCGAAGTCCTTCATTTTGATGTATGATTTTTCAAAATCGATTCGTTTTCGAGAAAATTAGAAAAATCTTTATTTATCTAAATTTGTTCAGATAGAAAAACAAAAACACACGAAAATATCACTTTTTATTTCAATAAGTGTTCAAAATGTTGCCCGTTAGGGTTTGCCAAGTCTACAATTATTATTTATAATTTAAAACGGAAACTACCAACATAAACAGCAATCCGGAAGATTAGACGTGGCAACAAGCAAATAACAGCCCGAATTTTTTTCCGCATGCTTTTCATCAACAGAGATATCCTGGGCGAACTGTATTTATTGTTATACCTGTTTAGTTATTTGTTGCTAAGGGAAATAATTTAATTTGCTGTCACTTACCTTTGTGACAATCTTGGGATAGTGAAAATTATTTATTGATTTAGATTTTACTTCAAAAATGGTTTACACACTAGCCGAAAGAGAGAAAATGATTCTAATTTATGGTGCCCAAAATCAATGTGCTCTGCAAACTGCCGTCAGGTTTAACATCAGACATTCAGGGAATAACTTTGCATAGGTATGTTTTGGACCTTGTTACTAAATTTACTTAAACTGGATCTGTTGCAATAAAAAACGTGATCATCGGAGAGTTTTGGATGAAGCCGCTCAAGTTGAAGTTCAGGTCATTTTGGAATAAACCCTAATACTTCATTACGCAAAATTGTTGCTGCGACTGGTATTACATTATTCTCTGTACACACAGTTACGAAACTCTATAAATTTCATCCATTCAATATGAGAATATTTTTGAAAAATATCTGCAGCGAATAATGATAATACCGTTCATGTAAAGAATATCTGCTTCTGTGATGAATGCACATTTTATCTAAATGGATATGTTAATAAGCATAACTGCAGGTATTGGAGCAATGAAAATCCTGCTTTTGTACAAGGGCATATCCAGTACCCCCAAAAAGTTAATGTATGGGCGGGCATTTTAGGAAACAAAACCATTGGGCCATTGTTTATTAATAAAAATTTGAATGGAGGCATTTATTTGGATATGTTAGAAAATACCATCAATCCGCTTATCACTGAAACCATTGAAAACCAAATTGAAGATGGAAACCCTATACTTGATGAGGCTGAAATATATTTCCAGCAAGACGGCGCTCCTCCTCACTATGTTCTTCCGGTTCGGCAATGTCTAGACGACGAGTTTCCAGATAAATGGATACGGCGAAGAGGGACTATAGAATGGTCTGCTAGATCTCCTGATTTGACGCCATTAGACTTTTTTCTATGGGCCATTTGAAATCGATGAGTATTATGTTTACTCCCCAACCTAAAAGTTTGGATGAACTTCGTCAACGCATAATCAAAAGCTGCCATGATATCCCACAACATGTTTTCTAAAATGTCCTTCAGGAATTTGAACATCGCCTATATCATTGTTTGGTCAATAACGGACAACATTTTGAATACCTATTGAAATAAAAAATGATATTTTCGTGTGTTTTTGTTTTCTATCTGAGCAAATTAAGATAATAAAGATTTTTCTAATTTTCTTAAGAACGAATCGACCGATTTATAAAATTAAACGTCAAAATAAGGCACTTCGAAGGACCTTCCAAACAAGCTATTACTCGATACCCCTTGCGATTTGAAATTTTTAAGGTGATGACCATGGGAGGCAGATGGTGAAAGGGGGTGAAGTAGTTTTTGTTAAAAAGTTGTCCCCCTTGACAAACCTTTGACATGTCTCGGCATTTTTCCTTTTAATCAGTGGTTTTCGATAAATTCGTGGTGGAAGTTTTCAAATGAACAACCTGTATAAGTGACTTCTATGAGAAACATAACCTCTTCAAAGTATATATATATAGTAGATAGAAAACAGCTGTGGCAAATACTCCTAGTTTTTTTTGTTTTATTAACTTTTTGGACGCGCGAATATAGCTTTAGGTTAGCTATCTTCAGGTAGAATAGGTTAATCAACGGTTTTTCGTACATACTGAAATTGCTGGATGTAACTAAAGAAATGAACTGTTGTATTCGAAGGGGTCTGGCAGTCTATTATGAAGAAAAAGTATCCTAAATAAACTATTTTCTATTACAGGTCACGAATCATGTCTTGGAATGTTCCCCAAAGGAGGCATTCCAGAGATAAAATGGCTAAGTGGTGACTCCCTAAGGGTAGTAGAAGGCCACTTTTCCATCCCTATAGGCAAATCTGACCTCTTAAAACTCCAAAAACTGCCCAACGCCGGTATTGCGATATACGTTGTACGATATGTCAGTCGTGTGGCACATGTAAGGAGGACGATTTCAAACTGCCTGAAGGGAATGGTAGTAAAAAGAAGACTGTTAATTTTTCTGATCCTAATTTAAACGATAATGTTAGTTTTTCCAATGTAAGTAAGGTGAAGTAACCATAGCATCAATGGCTGACAAGAAAAAAGGCTTCGATGTCCCTGGCTGCAAAAAGGTGGTGTGAATAGGGACCATAGCGTTCATATGGAAGTACAGTTAATAAGGTACGAAATTGGTGCTTTTCAACGGATATTTCATCGAACTTTGTCCTAGTAGTACACTATTTTCCACCATAATTAACATGCCAAAAATAACAACATATAACAGCTGATTATTTAATAACTGCGATGTGGGGCGTTAGTGACATCATACCACATACTGCTTCAAATATCGTAGAGACGTCTATGCTTTTGTGTTTAAGTTGTTTTGCATAAAGTAATTGAGCAAGTTTTAGTAAGATCAGAACGATTCAATCGATATACAGGAGCTGCTAATGATCATGACTGAATTTCAGGTCAGCTAAGAATTAAATAAATTTTAATCAGTAATTGGTGGAAATATTCCCTATACGTTACTGAATGTAAACATTCTCTATTACCAACATTATAAAAATTAACGCAATGGCAGCACTGAAAATAGAGGTCAGTTATGAGTTGAAAACATGGTGGTAAATAGTGTTGTCAATCTGATAGCTAAATATACGAGGTTTTTGTTTATTTTTAGGTTAGATTTCAGCATGACGTGTACCCTGATACGACCAGGGAGGCATCAAGGCAGGTCCTAATAGTTTCCGAAGTCGAAATCAGGGATAGGTTAGAATCAAGTCAAATAAACAAATTTTATATCAATATACTAGTCAGGCGATGCCAAAGCAGTCACATGCTCATATGGTAAGTATGCCTCAAAAATTTAAAAAAATCAAAATATCTACTTGTTTTATTTCAATTTCCATGTTTTTCTCTCTGCCAAATTAAATGCCATACAGAGTGAGTTTTTAGTCTGGGCTCGGTCAATAACTCCGTTATTACTCATGGTACATAAAAAAATTGTAGCCAGCAATAAACTTCTTACTTTGAAAATATTTTTATTTTTACAGGTTGATTCATAATTGTGTAGTGACCCAAAAATACATTTTTAGGTGGAAAGATTTACAGTTTATTGCAGATTCGGATAGACCCTTCCAAACGAAGCAATTTGATATAACATACTGTGGGGTTCTATTTCAAATTGTTGAAATATTGGGCAATATATCGAAAAAAACACTCTACTTTGACAACTCGCCCCTCCGCATCTGTTATTGCTGGAGAACTGAATTTTTCGTCAGAAAACTTTTATGATCCCATATTTTCTTCCTATCGACTTACATTTTCATTTTTTTGGCTAGTTATACAGTGAGGTCAAGAACGCAAAATAAACGATTTCTCAAAATGTTAAATAGAACATCCTGTATATTTCACACCTTTTGTTTCCCTTTTTCACAGGCTTTTTTCTGATATAAGGTTTATGGGGGCTTGTACAACTGTTTGTGAGTTGCTAAAAAGTCTTTCCGACTGTATTGCATAAGGTTAGGTAGAACTGATTTATAATGAAAATACATTTATTTTAACCATACACTATTATTAACTGAATGCTATTTTTACTGTGAATGGCATTGTAATATTTTTCATTTACCTCGATAGCTGATTTACAAAAAGGTTAACTGTAACTCAAAAACCATCCAACAAGCTCCCACAAACCTTACATCAAAAAAAAATTATGGAAAGGGGAATAAAAGAATATGTGAAAATATACAGCGTGTTCCCTTGAAAATTGTGAGAAATCGTTCATTTTGCGTTTATCGAAAAGAGGGTGTGAAAAAACTTTGGGATTATAAAATTATTGTAACGAAAAGTTCAGTAGTCTACCTACAACAGTTGCAGAGGTGCGAGTTGTCAAAGTTGTTTTTCTCGCTAGATTGTGCAATATCTCAACAATTTAGAAATAAAATTCTATAGTATTTTACATAAAATTGCTTCTTTTGAAAGGATCCATCCGAATCTGCAATAAAATGTAGGTCTTTCCATTTCAAAAAATCTACAAGCATGGACAAAAGTACTGAAAAATGAACATCCACTACTTCTTAGTAACATTTTAGAAATAAATGAAAACACAAAATAAAAACAAGTCTCATATAAATAAATAAAGAAAATCCTTGGACAAAAGTATGGAAAGACTACTTTTATTAAGAAAAAAAGTTAAACATATACAAATTAAACAAGCAATGTTCAGTATTTTGTTGAAAATCCGAAAGGCATGACTTCCTACATCTTCTTGGCAAGATTTCGACACACATCAACTGGAATCTTCCGCCATTCTCACTATGAATAATTCTTTGCCGAATTTTCCGCTCTAAGTGCTCCCAAAGATGCTCCATTGGATTGAGATCAGGGGATTGCGAAGGCCATTCCAATAAATCAACGCTTTTCTCTAAAAAACAATTTTTTACTAAATATGATGAATGTTTCTGATCGTTTTCTTGTTGATATCTCCCCAACAGCGGAATTTCTTCGGCATAAGATAACATAATATTCTGTAATATGTCGCGGCACATAAAGCGATCCATTTTCCCAGTTATTTTCAGAATCGGCCCCGTTCCAGACCTGGAAAAACACCCCCAGATCATAACGCAGCCACAACCATGCTTTACTGAAGGCTTTTGATACTTGATATCAATTTTTTCCCTACAGGACTGCTTACAATCTTCCATCAGCACCAAATATTTTAAATTTGCTTCGCCGCTCCAAAGCACCCGTACCCCAGTTTTTCGGTGTCCAATTTCGATTCTTTTTAGACAGTAATGGTTTTTGACAGCAACTCTTACAAACAACCCAACTTTACATAAACGTTTTCTCACAGTACGGGCCGTCCTGTCTGTGTTGAAACACGCACTACTTTCTTTAATGCCCTTATAAACATAGGGGGCAGTTTTCTAGGACCGCCTGACTTTGGCCGATTAGTACCTTTTCCTAGTAACCGACACTTTTTTAGAATTTTTGAAAGGACACCCTCGCTTAAGTCTAAATTTGTTACTATAGTAAATTACTTTTCAACTCGACAACTTTGTCGCAACTCTCCCGTCAAACACTTATTCTTGCCCATTCTCCATAGGGTGCTCGTTATAGCAGTGATACAACAAAACAAATCCAATGTGATGTTAAATACGTAACAATGCTGATATGAAAAAACTCTCCATACATTTGTCCAAGACATGAACAGCAAAAAAACGCAAAGAAGGTACTAATGTCTATGGCACAAAAAGTAAACATGTGAAAATATGTGATACCTAAGCAGGCATATCAAATGAACAGCCCAATGTATTGTGGTATACGAGGCGAGCTGGAAAAATGTTTGAAATAAAAATCTTTCCATACTTTTATCCATGACTGTATGTTTGGTTCACCACGTAGTTATAGTATTTTCTTTAAATAACTTTTTAGATAGCATGTGTAATAACAGGGCTATCTAAGGAGCCCACACTATAAACTCACCCTGCATATTGGGTTGACGTTTTAGCCACCTCGGTGGCCATTTTCAAAATAAAAAAACCATGACAATTCGAGTGCAGCGATCTTTTGTAATAAAACAATTTTCTGAAAGACATATTTTGGCGCATTATGATTCAGTCATCTGTTATCTTTTAGGTTATAGTGAAAGCGATGCATATAAGACCAGATCCGAAACTAAAGACTCAAGAATGCTGCCTTAAAATCTCTCTGTTGCCACTTAGGTTAAATATAGATCAAGATGCTTTGTTATTCTTAATAACGTTTTTTAATGAGCTTAGCTGCGGAGGACCCGTCAAAAATCGGTAGGTATCCATTTTCATTTATAAAAGAAAGTCGGTACTTTTCAATTTAGATTTATCTTTTACTCATTACACTCAAGTCGTGTTCACACGTATTTCTGTACGAAACGCCCCGATTTTAGAGAATTGTGTTGCTAGACCTATAAGTCTTTATTGCAACTTGAGCTGGTGAGGATATTTTTCAATTGTTTATCCGAACCGCACCCTTATGCCCATTTGCTCCTCCTCGCGAAGATCAACTTTAAGCTAAACTGAATCTTATATTCTGTTTGTTGCACCAGTACACTTAAAATGGTAGAAGTAGTAGTAGTAGTAAGTAGTGACCACGAAACCAGCAGAACTAGAGTAAAAGGCTGCCTTGCCACATTGCATATATATCAAAAAACACTGCCTATTTCTTGCCTTATCTGTGATCGAAACCTCATATTTCGATTATATTTATTATGTATTTTTATAACTTGAGATTATAATAAAATTAAGCTTATCCAGCTTTACAACAGCTCTGAATAAGGAAAATACAAAATTAGGGAATAAGCTTTCACTTATTCTCTGTAACTAACGGAGCTTTTTTATTTGCGCAAAATCGAAATAAGAAAGAACATAACGAAACAGCCAAACAAGAACACCAAAAACTCTGTAATATTAGTTATTATTGAACGTTGTCCTGTAACGTTGCCATGCAACATAAATCGCATTGTCGCGCGCGAAAAACTGCTTGCGTAAATGAGCGCTTAATGGCGTGAATGAGATGGAGAGTTTTATTTGTATATCTAGTTTTATACTTATATGTTTTTATTGGATATTTTTTTAAGATGAAGAGCAACAACCTTCATCGAAACACAGCACCCCCACTCATCAACCCCCTGTGATGACAATAAATGATGAAGCTGTAAAGAGACAGGCTCACAAAGTTGTCAACGACAATCTTATTATACTGATAGAAGAAAACAAGCACCAACAGGAGATGGAATCATCTGTTAGTAGTACCACGAGTAGTGTTTCGGATTGTTCGCCGGTATATTTCAGGTATGTTTAAAAACACATTCGACACGCAAGCAGTTGCAAGACGGCATTGGGCATTGTCCGCAAGACAATTGCATCCAGTCACTTGCAGTTGCAAGGCGACCCTGTTTCCGCGATTCAAACGAGCAATGTTAGCCTAAAAAAGTGAAAGTCACATTGCTAACCTACAATTTTGGTTATTGTTTTTTACCCTTCAGAAGTCATGGTTTTAATATCTAGATTTATACCTGATTAATTATTGCCAACGTTACAGACTAATACAAAGATGTCCCTTGCTGATCAGCTGTTCACCTCAGTAGACGTCAAACGTAATGGATACTCGTGAAATAGGGTTTATCTGTAAACAATTAAACATAATCACACAAACCAGTCGACCGGCCTAGGGACTTTTGCAGAAATTGGTAACTTGTAAGTTACTATTTCACAAGAATTGCAGACAAACTTGTATGAAAAATCCAACTGATTGATTTTCATGCGCAATGTTTTCATGAAAGCCCCGGCAGTTGCAAGGAAATCACAGGGAGAATCAGCTGTTTTGTGAGTGCGTATGCATTTGATCAACATTTATTTTGCCCTAGCTGACTGTAAAGCTGGAATAATATTAAAACATGATTGACACAATGATTTAGCCAACAGACTATCAAATCTGATAGCCATGTGATGACTGCAATCAAATTAATAATCTACATGACTCTGTAATAATTTAGGCGTTCTAAAAATAAAGTTACTCAAAATTCCACCGTAATACCAATTGCATAGGTTGTTTAGTAAATCTAAAACTGCTTATGACTGTCTATACTCAAACAAGAGATTTTTTAAATGATGGGACAACCCAAATTAAAGGATTCACTGCTCCGCCGTTATGGTTAGCACCTTTGGCTGCAGCAGAAGTATTACGTAACTTGAAAAGTGAAATTGTCGTTTTTTGACATTATGCTGGTTTTTGATATTATGTAGGATTTCCTACAAGACTTCAACTTGAAACTCGCTGTCGTTGACCTCATCCTCACTTTAACAAGTAGACGTTTTATCGTTTTTTTTTCTACATTATATAATAATAATAACAACGTTTATTGAGATACAACTCAAAAGTAAAGGGTATTGTATAGACATTTTTCAGCCCTTCCGTAAACATTACTATAAATAGATAAATTGCAAAAGAATAGATTGATAATAGACATCAGACAAATATAGTTAATAACATAGTTAACACATTGCAATCAGTATATAAGAGTACATTCTGCATTTAAACTGTATTAATGAACAAGTAAATAACTACAGAAAAAATGTATAAATAGATAGAGATAAGGTCATAACGCCAAATAATAGATGGAATTTGCGATTACAGCACATGCAACTGATACAATAAGATCGTATTAGTACACACATTTTTGTTTGTTAAGAAGATATAGCCTGCAGTATTTTTTAAAACCGTTGTATGGTATTTTCTTCAATAGTTCAACCTCTTCGTTGAAAATGGTTGAAGCTATGTAGCTAAACTACTTTTAAACTTGCTTGAAGAGTGCCTAGGAATACATATAAATTTGAGTTTCTCGTATCTAAATTATGAACATCAGAAAGCCGCGTTAAATTGTTATAAATGTATGATGGTTTTTTATATTTGATCAGCTTATACAACATAGTACTGTATTGCAATTCAGCCTTTGAATCGTATTTCAGGTAACCCAAATTATTGTAATGTGGAGATATATGTTCAAACCTATTGATAGTGTTGTAACTGTACCGTAAACAACAGTTTTGTAGAACCTTAACCTTGTGTTTCAAGTTTTCAGTTGAATATGTATAAACAACAGTTAAATCATAGTCCATGTTAGATAGTATAACAGCATTGACTATTCGCCATTTCAAATCGGCAGATAGAATATATTTGAGTCTCCAAAGGCTCCTAAACTTAAAATAACAGCTACTAATTTTACTAGCTATCTGAGATTCAAATGTTAGATTGCTGTCTATTAATATCGCTAAGTTTTTGACATTGTCCGCTATATCAATATATACAGGGTGTCCGCAAAGTTGGGATTTTCCTTTACACGACGTGTAGATCTTGAAAACCATAAACAGTTTTTCTTAGTACCATATACACCAATGTCTTAAGGGAACCGAGATAAAGGGCTCTGCAACATCAAAAATATCTGAATACCGTCCTGTAGCCGCGATATCCTCCAGTGGTACTAGGACACTAGCTCAACCCGACGACAGAACTGGGTCGGGGTCAGTGTGTCAGGTCAGTATGCAACCTTCAACGAGGGTTACGGTCACGCGTGTAGAGGTAAACGAACCCGTATAATCGATTGCGTTTCAAAAAACAACAAGCATTAGAGACGTGGCTAGAGAAGTGAAAGTATCAAAAACTAAAGTGTGGCAAACGCTGCGTGAAGAGGGGCTGTATCCGTTTCACGTCCAACGTGTACAAGCCCTTCAACCTGACGATTTTCCAGCAAGAGTGCGGTTTTGTGAGTGGTTGTTGCATCAACATGACAATAATCCGGACTTTTGAAGTGCATATTGGTGACAGACGACTCTACGTTCACGCGTAATGGGGTGAATAACTTTCGCAACACTCATGTTTGGTCAGTAGAAAATCCGCACGCTGTCCGTCGGGCACATTTTCAACAAACATTTTCGGTGAATGTTTGGGCTGGCATGGTGAACGGTATGCTCATTGGACCATTTATTCTCCCAAATCGATTGGACGGGATGCAAGACCTAGACTTTTTACGCAACATTTTGCCTTCCTTGTTAGAAGATGTGCCATTAAGTGTAAGACAATCAATGTGGTTTCTGCACGATGGTCATATTGTTACCTCTGTTCGTGGTCTACTGGCCTGCACCACCGCCGGCGTCTGCTCAGTAGCGCATCAGCTGATTTCATTTTCTGTTGGAGCGGTTATGATTTCGGGCAGAGACGTACTTAGCCCTTCTCGTCAACTGGAGAGTGAGTACTTTTTCCTTTATTTTTTTTTTTACTTGGTCGCCCTCGTTTCACTACACATTACCTTTGTTATTTCAAGGGTAGTTGTTTCTGAAAAGGAAAACCCCAACTTTGCGGGACACCCTGTATATATATATATATATTTTCTACGTAATAACCCTGCGGCACGTATCTTGAAAAAGTGACATTTCGTCGTTTTTTTTTTACATTTGTACACTTGTGAACTCTTTTTGTAGCTGCTAGCCTAAACGTCAGCGAACAGCGATCATAGCGAGCAAACGTGGAATGAACTATTTGCACACTAAAAACTACCTAGTCTGCAAGACGACATTTCGTCGTTTTTTTTACGCTTTTTAGGTTTTTTACATGATACCCTTGCGGGCGTTTCTATCCTCATTTGCCATGAAGTGTATTCAAGCGCGAACGGCTGGTTCCTAATATGTATACTTTAGTTATTCCCCAATGTTTGATAATTTAGCTGTAATAAACAAATTATAAATTTACCAACAGACGTTTATCCAAGTACTATGCGTGATATTTTCGAGTTTCACTTGATGGCAGTCTCTGTATTTTTGTAAAATAATTTTTTGAACTATGATGATTCTATATTCTCATTGTTTCTTTTCCAGAAATGTGGTATTCTCTCCGGACGTTCTCATTCGTCTAGACTACCATGGCAAAAGGGTGGACATGACGCACGGTTCCCTACCAGGTTTGCTCATGGGCCTCGGCCAGCTGAACTGCTCCGAACTAAGACTGAAGAGGATCAACTACAGACATGGACTGCTTGGTATGGACAAACTGATATCGCACTTGCTGCAAGAGTGGTTGAACGACATCAAGAAGAATCAATTGCCTAGCTTGTTGGGTGGTGTGGGACCAATGTACTCGCTGGTACAATTATGTAAGTATTTTTGAAAATATTGACTCTTTAAATTGTTTTGGCCAGTCTGTCTCTTTAAATTGTTTTGGCCAGTCTGTCTCTTTAAATTGTTTTGGCCAATCTGTATGGTTCTGATTTTATTCGCCTTGTCTAACTGTCCTCTCTTGATATATCTTCCCTTTGTTATAAGCATGCGAATTGACGACACGTGTAAACTCACTAAATAATGAAACTTAAAGTGTAATTTAATCTCATTTTTCCCTTCGGGAGCCGACCGGCCAAAGTCCCCGATGGCAGTGCAACATCTATGGATTATTGTACCTTGTTTCTCGCTTCTAGTTTTTGTTTTCCGAAGAGTTGATGTCTTTTGTGATCCAGCGCCTAGCACTCGCATAAGGCCAATTCTGTTCGTTTTCCGCATTGTCTGCAGGTGAGGTCTCCATCATACAGACCTATTTTACGCAGGTGTTCTTTCAGGACATAATATCCTGTTAGAAGGGCTGTAACTACACGGAGTTGGTTTCTACTCATTGAGAGCAGTTCCGTAGTCGTATTCGGATATGGTCCCAGAAGGCATGGTCTTTGAGGGACTTACCTATAAACTATTGTTTGACGCCCATGTTATGACCACATCCAGAGCTCTTTGCATTTTGTCTTTGTGGTGTTGAGTAACGAAGTTATCCTCTTCCGTGTTCACCTTGGTCTAGGTCCGCTATTACGAGGGATGTCTTTTAAGTTTTGCATATGGAAATAAAACAACACGATAGGTAGTTTTAAATGACTTTATTGTTTTTCGAAGTATTCTCCACGAAGATTAATACACATCAGCATGCGCTCGAACCAATTTTCGAAGCACTTATTCCACTCGTTAGATCGGGACTATATGGCAGGATGGTCCAATAATTCCACGTTTTCTTCCGTTAAATACTGCCTTGTTTTTTGGGCTGTATGCGAGCTTGCATTGTCTTGGTGGAGGATGATTCTTCTTTCGGGGTTGATTTTTCGAAGCTCGGTGATGATTTTTGGCAAACAAATGGTGGTATACCAATCCGTAGTAACAGTTCTTTGCTCATTGAGAGGAATTGTTGCAATATGACCCGCTTTTGACACAAATGTCGCGACCATCTTTTCATTCCAGTCCAAGGAGTCCGCGACCTCTTCTGGCTACCCATCGAACAGTACCAGAAGGATGGCCGAATCGTCCGTGGGCTTCAACGTGGTGCCAACAGCTTCACGACCTCCACAGCAATGGCCGCGTTGGAACTGACCTCGCGCATCATCCACTTAATCCAGATCACTGCTGAAACTGCATATGACATTCTGTCGCCAGGCCCTAGCGTCAGGAGGCCGGTGAGGAACAAGGGGGGCAAGGGTTCCAGGAGAAGGAGGTACCACCAGCCGCAGGATATCAGAGAGGGATGACTAATGCTATTATGTTAGTCAAGGAGGTAAGTTATTGTTTTTGCATGCAAGAATTTGCCATTTTACCTCCCACGAAAACAGCAGCAGTGTCCGACTTCGCTCCCGCAAGGTGGCGCTTGTGTAGTTGGAGATCAAACTCTCAAACGTAGATAGGAAAAAGACATTTTACCTATTTTCACGCCTCATCATGTGTTGACGACTATTGAAATGAATAGCTCATCAGCAATTCGCATCTGATATTTATAACCTCCAACCTAACTAGCGCCATCTACTACTAGTTTTCTAAATATCTTGGCTCTAAAATATAAAATCCTTAATTTGTTCTTAAATATTTTTACATTTAGTGTTAGTTATATTTTAAGTGGTATAAAATCTAAAACCGTAAAATATTAAAATAATAAAATCAATATTGTCTTGTCTAGGATTTCATGCTCTGTCAAAAAATTTACTTTCTGCAATAATTTAATAATATTCTCACACACTCATTTAATAACAGTTGGATCCTGCCGAACAAGAAATAAGTAAATATGATCAATAATTGAAAATAATTGAAATGTGTGAGGAAGTATTGTCATCGCCAAAAATTTCGAAAATCAGATATTTTGTTTTTTGATGTTATGAATGTCCGCTAATCCTTGGCCCGTCTATAACGGTTACTACTATGCTAAGGACGAAAAAGCTTTGTAGTTTTTGAAAATTGGTCCAGTGGCGACGGAGTTACAGGCAAAACACGAAAAAAGTAAAAATCGTTCAAACATTGTTGTTTGACATTTCAGAAGCTCCTGATCATTTTTGGAAATTGTTTTGTAGAGGTTTAAAATGGGAGGTAAGGGAGAGTATATCTAATATTTCTAACGGTAGTATATTCATGCGCATGCAACCCCGCTAAAAGGTTAGTTGACACTTCTTTTAAGTAGGTCTTAAATATACAGTAATGGACAAAAGTATATAGACAAATTAATATTGTGCTGTATTTCTTTTTTAACTTGTTTTATTAATACACCAACCTGTATACATAATTCGTTATAGCATAATACTCAGTTATACATAAATAAATTCATCAGACTCCCTTCGATAAAAAATTAATTGAAAAAAACTGGAACTATGAAGGACAAAAATATCTAGACAAAGCAAAACAATTATAGAAAAAAGAAGCAAAGTTCATGTTTGTGTTAATATTTTTAGCGTAACCATTATTATCAATCATCGCCTGGCATCGTCTCGGCATAGATTGTAGAAGTTTCTAGATATAAGATTCATCAACCTGTCTCCACTTTTGCTCTAAAGCGGCAAAAAGTTCATCCTTGTTTGAATAATTTTTATCTCGTATTTGCTTATCTAAGTATTCCCATAGATTTTCAATGGGGCTTATGTCGGAAGACTGTGAAGGCCATTTGAGAACTGGTATTTTTTCATCCATATTGTCTTCCACATAGGGTAACATCACATGCTTTAATATGTCTGTGTATACAAACTTGACCATAATGTCGTCTATTCTATGTAAAGGTCCCATCCCAAACCCCGAAAAGCACCCCCAAACCATAACAGACCCGCCTCCATGTTTGACAGTGGGCAAAGTGTACTTGGGGTTCAATCTTTATCCACTAGGACGTCTAACGTAATGAACACCATCTGATCCAAACATATTGAACTTGGATTCGTCACTGAAACATACCCTCTTCCAGACACAGATGCTCCAATCAAGATGCAACCGTGCAAATTGTAATCGGTCCTTACGGTTTTTCCTCGAGATTAGCGGCTTCTTACTCTGGCGACGTGCAAATAACTTCAAATCATTTAATCTTCCACTTATAGTTTTCGTAGAAACACTGACAATTCCTTTTGTCTCGATTTTGGTCTTGGGGCTTTAAATCCTTGAATGAAATTACTTTTATTAATCTAACTGATCTAGCATTTAGTTTTCTAGGCCGACCACTTTTCTTAGAGGCTTCCAATATACCTTTTAACATATATTTCTGCACCACAAGGAATTTAGTTTTTCTACTAATAACGCATTTGTTTATGGAGCAATGAAGTATGAATTCGTTTTCTAAAGGTATTTAGGTAAATATTCATATTTGTCTATATACTCTTGTCCATTACTGGACAATCTATATAAATATAGGTATATATATATGTATGTATGTGTGTGTGTGTGTGTGTGTGTGTGTGTGTTCGGATAGGAAAAAAATGAATACTATATTTTTTTCAGATCTAAAACTTTAATTTGAAAAAATATTTTTTTTATGCAGGCTGTCCGTTATGTTTGGCTCATATTAATGTGCCCTGACGTCATAACATTTGTATATATAAACATGACTTCCATTAGTTTAAATAAAAAATATATTAACTATCGTTAAAAGGCCCCAGAAAAGCTGCAGATCAGAGGGCCCAGGGAAATAAATATACGCAACACTGTATTGCTTGTTTGGAACATATTTTATATTTTACTGTGCAGATTTTATCGTCTCGTTTAAGTTGGGAATAACCTACGGCATTATCACCGTACGATTATTTTGCAGATGTGTAAGGATGAATACAATATTAAATGCCTGTTTGGCTCAATGCATTTCATTATTTTTTGTTATAAATGTTCATCGTTAACTTTTTTCTCATAATAATTCTTTATGAGCTGATGACAGTGTTGCGCGGGAAGTGCAGAGTCAACCTACTTGACACCATTTTTTCATCATATCGACAATTTGGACGCATTTCTATCTAAATATCTTACTTGTTTAACAATGTCGTTACTGATATAGCCCACATGCTCACTGAGACTTAAATTTTGGTCTATTTTATTTTAGGGTTGATCGATGTATTCTCTGTTTTGTGCATGACTTGCACATCACGAAAAACCTTGTCACTCATTTTCGTAGGTCTGTCTCTCTGTCTGCTATTCCTTGAAAAATACTGCTCGGATGTTGATGATATTTTGACACTACTACTATGTCAAGGTCGAAAAGCCTTTCTGGTTTTGAAAATTGATCCAGGACCAATTGAGCTACGGATAAAAGACGAATAAACAAAAGTCGCACAAACTTCGTTTTTTGACGTTTCACTGACTCCTGTTCAGAAACCTTTTTTTGAGGGATTCAAAATTGGGCATTTTAGGAGGTAGGATGATTATTGCATCTTTGGTATCAGTGGAAGGAAGGAAATTAAGGAAATTTTCACAAATTCTTGCATATTTGTAGTGAAGTATATGGGCTTGAGTTCAGAGGGAACATAGTCACGACGAAATAATAGGTCACCTAAAAATTCTTCCTGGCCATTTCAATGCTCTGACGAAAGAATCATACGGTTGGTTTTTCAGACATTTATTATTTTTTGTATAAAAGGAAACAATAAAGACAAATACGCATCTTCTCATAAAAGCCATCTGAATGTAGTAAGAATTATCACAGGAAGAATATGGTCAGTTTGATTCAAACTCTGTAAAAACATTGTACGATTACAATACCATTGACGCAGGTACAAACTCACTCACTTTTTTTTTTGTTCTAGGGCATAGGCGAAACCGCTGACAACATAGTCCAAGTAGCCTCACATGAAAAGGAACAAAAAGGTTACAGCGGCGCCGTCGGTGGTGTTCTTCGCCAAATCCCTCCCACCATTTTGAAACCGATTATCATCGCTTCGGAGGCCACCAGCAACGTTTTGGGCGGGATGAGAAGCCAGTTGGTGCCCGACGCACGTAGAGAGGCCAATCAAAAATGGAGGAGTGATGAAACTTGAACGAGGGTGTGGTGTTTGTGATATGCAACTGATTGTGATCGGGGAAAGGCATGTGTTCTGATGGTTTTCACGATAGGCTTCAACATGAGGATTATTATTTCTTACTATTAGGAAAGTAAATTGTCTACTGCTCAGTTGTTGCGTTGTTGCATAAGTTTTATTTTTACTAGCATGGTTTAAATTTAAATAATAAATAATTTAAATTTGAGTAGTTTCATCGTGCGTCAGTTTAGTTTTAACGGAACGTTTTCGCCAGGCAGCATTTCCTGACCATGAACATTCGTGCAGACACAAGAAAGGGGGCAAATCAATAACATCGAACTCCTGAACATCTTACATGACACCTTTGCTGCATTACAATAAAACAATTTAGAAAAGTTAAGGGAAAAAATGCGAGGTAAATAATCTGGATTCCTTGGATTATTTTGATCTCTGGCCATTTTCTAAATACCGCTTCATTTCGGCCCCTAAAGGACATCGCTGGAAATCGGTTTTCTTAAATAGCTTATGAAACGGCTATAAATATAGGATGTTACTCAATAATAGTCCGTATAATTACAAGGGCGCATTCCTTAACTAGTTTCAAGTAGAAACGTTCATATAAACGTATGTCCTAAGATACAGGGTGTCAAATTTTTATACAAGTTTTAGTTTTTGTTAACATCTCAAAGACACTTGTGCCAAATTTTAGCAGTGTTGCTCATGGCAATAAGATGCCAGCTTAGCACTAACTAGGAGATAGTTATGAATTCCAGTAGCGTCTCAGACGGCAGTCTCTCGAAAATTTTCAAAACATTTACGCCCCATTTTGAAAAAATTAAACTTTTTCGGATTAGTCAGCTCTTTTGTTTCTTCATAGCTCTTCGTATTCGGGGAGTGAATAAAACAGACTTCAATACATGTCAAAAAAATGTTAAAACATGAGAGCAGAAGCCTGTATAGAAGCATGAGTTGGTCATTTTCAACTTTTTTCATTCCCTTGATTTTAATAAAATGACTTTTGAATTCATATTGTGCATCGATCAAGTTTTAACAATTTGTCGACGTGATTGTTATTTTTTGCTCAAAACTAAGCGGGATACGAAGAGGTATCCAGAGACAAAAAAGTTGTTCAGCTGATGAATCAGAAAAAATATATTTTTATTAAAAGTCAGTTGTGTACATTTTCTTCTCAATATCAGTCGAGAGACTGTCTCGCAAGACGCCACTGGAATTGATTATCAGTTAGTGATAACTTCCCGAGCTATGACAGTGAACAACACTGCCAAACTTCAACAAAATCGGTAGAAAAATCTTTAAGATAATATTATTAAAAAACCAAAATCTTCTTTGACACCCTGTATCTTGGAAACCAGACTTTTCCGGACAAATGTTTGCCTGAACTTTTCAACCTAAGTTTGGTTAAGGAATGCGCCCTTGTACTTACGGCCTATCATTAGGTTGAGTTGGGAACAATACTCCTTCCATAGATTTACAGTGCTGCCAAAAACACACATCATATGACTCACGTTTGGAACAGGTTAAATCTACCAAGGATGTCCCGGAGTTCATGGAAAAAATATATTTATATATTTCCTAAACGCTATCGGATCAGGAAATTATTTTTTTATTGCCCGCCACTTTCGCTCAGTTTTGTCAAAAATTTGATATAGCCTAGATCTTAACAATGAATCAGTAAGTACCCTGGGTAATAGTTTTTCAATGGGTACTTTACGAGATTCAGTTCAAAACCGGACCCCTTGTACCAACGTAGTCTGAACACAATTGGCGTTTTGTAATAGCTACTTGGTGTTCCAGTTCGTAATTTTCGCCGAGCTTTGAGAATTTACTTTCAATATTCAATTTTTTTAACTTCTTCCCACCTGATACCGGTTAGCAAATGAGAATTGTTTTGACCACCAAAAAAGACCATTCTAATTTTTTATGCGAATTTTTGTTTCATTACGCAACTTTCATGTTTAATTCTATCTAAATATTTACTTGATTATATGCGTAATCCACTAAAAACTCTGTTTATGGTATTATATAATATCCTTATTATAATTTCAATGTATCTGTACTTGTAAATTGACTCCAGAACTGTAAAGCACATTTCATCTGATAGACATGAAACTATTTTTTTCCCGATTCAATCAATAAGCAGCAACTTTGATCTCTTCCTTAATTTTGTGATATTTGTTTTGTTGCTACACACATTTCATTGGGATACAAATAGTAATTTCTAGAATTCTATCGTGAAAGTCGTATCGTATGTACACGAGTGTTTTCAAGTTTAGCAATCTCAAAGGGTAGATTCGAATAACTGTAAATAAATACTTTAAGTGCCGACAGGATATTTTTTCATCTGTTCAAAATGCAATTCATTGTTATAAACACTTAATTAAAATTTACAAGCATATTTATAACCTTATTACTACTAAAGCAGTGTAGCGTTTGAACTTGCCGTGTATCAAAGCAAATTTCAGAATTTTGTACAAAAGGTGTAATCTTGCTAAATTGCTTAACAGAATTGGGAAGTTAGTGAAGATTCGAAACCACACCTTATAAAACTGAAAGACTTAGAACTACTGCATATTATTTTTTACTTTCATTACAGCTTCATTTAATCCCAAGTATTCACTTTAAAAATTCCCTTAACACGTTGACTGCGGCTACCAATTTCTACCTTCATTTGGTGTGCGGCACATGCCTTTGGAGACCCGTGCCTTATTTTATTTTTTGTGCGTCACATAGTTCAATTATGAGCAGCGTTAAAGCAATTTAAACAAAATCCAGGTTGACCTGGACAATCAGAACAATATGTTATAACTCTTCGAACTTTTTTGTCGATTTCGCGATAATTCAATCCAGATTTTTTCAAAATTTGACGACAACCCTTACAGGGCTTGCGCTTTTTCCTGCCAGGTCCGTCAGGTTTTTGAAAACTATGCACTCTTTTTTTGGAACCTTTATCGTTTCTTCAGAGTTTGGAGATTTGACTAGGGAATAAGCTAGCTGACGCCTAAACTCTGTTATGCTCAATTTTTCTTTAGCACATAAGTTATATATTATTAAGGAATTCACCACGGATGTTCCAAGAATCAGCTCAAACATGAATTTCCTAAAAAAAAATCAGAAAATATAGTATGCCATACTTTAAAATAATGTAAAAGAATACTCACCTGTACCACTTCAGGCTTCGACGCAGAACAGTGTGGTATGCAGACATTTGGTCTGAATAATCGACTCCCTTTTTGGCTGCATTGTAGTCAATCACACATTGGAGCTTAACAACATCTTCTCCTTTTTTATTTTTTTATCCAACTGGAATTAAATCTGCCTTATGAGATGGTACACTACTTATCATTAACACCTGCCTCTTGTCCATCCATTTAAAAATCTTGACGTCTCCTTTTTTCTTGGAAATGATTTGTCCCCTTTTTATTTTACTTTTTACAGAAAAAGTTACTGGTAAACCTTTTCTGTTGGCTCGTAATGTGCCACAGTACATCATCTTCTTTTTTAACAGCTGTTTGACAAGGGGGACGCTGGAGTAAAAATTATCTGCAAATAGGATTTTGCCTTCTTTTGGCTCAACATTTTCCAACAATTTTAGTACAATGGACTGGGAATGGCCAAGTTCAGCGTTTGTGTCCCCCTTTCCACTGTACACAATGACGAAAAAGGTTCCTTCTGGCGAACAGAGCTTGTAAAGTTTAATCCCATATTTGTGGCTTTTGTTTGTAATGCACTGCCGGAACAGGAGTCGTCCTCTAAATGGTATCATAGATTCATCTATCACTAACGTATTGCCAGGTTTTAGGGCTTCTTGAAAATTTTTAAGTAACTTGGATATTATGTTTAGTATTTTGTAGAGTCTGTTTGCTTTATCGCAAGTCTCATTGTTTTCAAAATGAAGAAATGATAACAGCAAAAGATAACGATCACGACTAATTGCACTGGAAATGAAGTGGTTATGATATATGTCATCTTTGGCCCAATATAGATTGATATGAGGAACTTGAGTAAGCCCCATAGCCAGCGTGACACCCAAAAAAATTTTAATTTCATCTCGATTTGTTGGAGTCCATTTATTAATTCTGGATTTTCTGGAATGCTGTTCAGCTTGCTTCTGAGTGGCGAAAATATTAGTTTGTTCGACAATTAAATCTAATATTTCATCGGCAATAAGGCAAGTAAAAGCGTCAATGGGGTTCCTTAATGCCGTTCTTGTCAATATTTAAAAGTTTACATTTTTGTGGGACAAAATTGTCAGTCACATCGTCATCATCTAAGTCACACCACTCATTGTCACTGGAATCATCAGTTTGCTCATTATTACTTACAGTCTGATTAGTCTTAATGGCCACTGGGGATGATTGACGTGATTCGGATGATTGTTCGGAATCAGATGAAGAGGATGAGTCTGGAACATAGTTTCTGTCACGCAAGGAATCATCGCTGCTATAAGGATCTTCTACTTCGAGTTCGTCTGTTGAAGATGGATATATTATATTCATGTCGCCATCTCCTTCAACTGCATGCTCCGTTTCTTGATTTTCAACTCCACCAAACGTATCATATTCTCGGAAAACTTTCGAACTACAGTTCTCAGTGTGTAACACAGCACTTTCTTCTTCAATTCTGCGGTCCGTTTCTTGATTATCAGCTCTATTACCACCAAAGGAATCATCTTCTTGAAAAACTTCCGACACCACACTTTTTGAACTACCGTTACCATTTTGCAATATATCACCTGAGTTCTCATCAACTTCTGCATGTCTCATTTGTTTTCTGGCAATTTCTACCATATATTTCGCTCTTTCAGACATCTTTTGTTCAATTTAAACACCCTTGTTGTATTGTACATAAATCACATAACCTCAAAAACAAACAGGTTGCAGTAAAACTACACATGCCTCCGGTGGCATGTGTCGCACACAAAGTAAATTTCATTACTTGTGTGCGGCGCATGCCACCGGAGGCATGTCCTGAAAAAAACATATTTTGTAATTATAGATTAGTTCCTGATCACATAGGTATATAAACGGAAAAAATTGGGTAAGGAATAAAGTTTTTATGACATCCGCACGTAACGAATATCTACCCAAATATCATTCAGCCTAGTAGTAAAGAACGAAACATGCCCCTGGAGGCATGTGTCGCAGCCAACGTGTTAAATATGTTTTAAATACAGTAGCGGACAAAAGTTTGGAAACAATTGTTAGTAATTTTTAAAAAGTGCGCTAATTTTTTATTCTTTATTAAAGATCACGATTACGTCATCTTTTTAGTCAGGAGTAAAGGCAAACGACAGCGCTTTTTGAATATTTTTTATTAAGTTTCAGATATGTTTTATTGTCTAAACAAACTGTATTGCTAATTTGAATGTATCCGACAAAGATAGACGATGTTTTCATGTTGCACGATCGATCATATTTGAAAGATGAATAGAGGTTATGTTAAAGCAGGTTAGGTTGTCGAACAATACTTTGGTCTTTAATGTTCCTGACTTAAGGTGTATTCTACTCATAACTGTTTTTTCAAAACAAAAACTCCCCGCTAAAATTATTATTGAGGTAACTTTAAACCATGAAATAAAATGAAAATAAAAATAATCAGTGAAATAATCTAACTAACTTCGCAAAATCATAATATAAATTCATTTTCATATTATGTTCCCGACATTGTGATTTTATCATCGACGTACGTCCATTCATTACTTCAGTACAATTAATAGTATGACGTAATAGTCATGTTTTGTGATTTTGACTGTACATTAAAATACCTTCATATGATTTCATAGCCAAAAATGAGACGACAAAAGTATGGAAACATATTTTTTATTACAAAATTAAATATAATAACTCTACAAAAAGATTTACAAAATACTGTTTAGCTAATATTTGGTAGCGCCTTTAGCATTCAACACTGCCCGACATCTGCTGCTCATAGAAGACACTAATTTTTTACAGACGTCTGTTGGGATATTTTGCCAAATATTTTTTACATAATCAAATAAATCGTTCCTATTTTTAAACTTTTTTCTTGTCAGTTGTCTTTTAACATACTCCCAGAGATGATCTATAGGTTTAGGTCCGGGGATTGCGAAGGCCATGTAAGAACATTAACATTTTTTAGTGTTAACCAGTCCTTTACGAATTTCGAGGTATGCTTGGTATGCAAGTTAAATTTGCTTTCATTGCTCCATAAAACTATTCCATTGTTGTTCTGTCCAAGTTAGATGAGTTTTAGCAAATTCAGGCCGAGCAATACGATTTTTTTAAATGAGAGGCTTTTGCAATGGACGCCTACCAAAAAGCCCAAAATCCGCCAAGCGCCTCTTGACTGTTCTGACAGAAAGATTCTCGGCACCCTCTTCTACGATTCTTTTGAAAATCTGTGTGGCTGGCATTCGAGGATCTTCATGGGGCAAACGTTTAATGTAGCGATCCAAAACATAATCAGCTGTTTTTGGTCTTCCGCACCTGGGCCGCGTCGCTGTTGATCCGTATTCTTGATATTTATTATTAATTTTCGAAATCGCCCATTTGTTCATTCTTAATCTTTGAGAAATGTCAACATTTCTGACATCACTTCTAAATAATTCAATTACTTTGTCTCTTAAATCTTTTGAAAATTATTTTACTTTTCTCATATCAATATAGTATTTACCGCACGCAATATCAGAGTATCGCAGAGCGAGTAAATACGGCAAAACTGAAATGTTTCCATACTTTTGTCGTTACAAAAACCGTGGTACTTAAAAAAACGCAAAAACTCTTTTTTTTTCAGAGAATTTGAATATTGATAAGATAAACCTTGTATTAGTACTGGAGCCAGAGGTAAACTTTATTATCTGTTCCTTCACAATTTTAAACAAGAAGCATCTTGTTTAATCTGCTCAAGGCAAGTAGACCAAATCTACTCTCAGCCAGAATCATTAGCCATCTAGCGGCATGGCTATTAAACTCGAACTGAGATCTTTGACAGTTCCAACTAATAGCAGCGGTGCGCGATCGATTCTGGTGCGATAGATGGCGCTTTGCGCTATCTCATGATCACAATTTTAATTTATGTATATACTGGGGACATTCTTTTGATTCCATTAATTCTTCAAGGTTTAATGGTGATAATATTGATCCTTTGAGGTTGCAATAATCAAGTCTGGGGTTTTAAGTGTATATAGTTCATAATTTTTTTGCAGAGTGAGGCGTGAGGTGATATACAAGTTTAGGCGATTTTATTTTATATTGCTTTTAGTAAAATAGCGTTTTTTAATGGTATATGCAATGTTCATTGTTACTAAGGTATGTAATATACTTTTATTAATTTGACTACCCGTATTCCTTTAAAAAACCATGAACATACCCAATGAAATTTGAGTGATTGGGATGGAGAAGTTCTTCAGTTGAGCATATAAGGCCACTGCAAAATTTCCCGGGAACGGAAACGAGAGAAAACTTCAATTGCATAATTATTATCTCTACATACATGTAAAACAAACGGGAACGAGCTCGGTAGGTATATTAACATATTCTTGTAAAGTGACACTATGTCAGTTTTCTACCAGATGTTAACTTAGAACTAGATGTTCACTTGATGTGCACTCGTTCTGTAGCTGCACGTGTTGCCTAAACGCCATGACGCTTCAGCTGTCAATATTTGGCTCTGATCTGATGTAACTGCTTCAGAGATGGCATGAAAGAAGAGTTGGCCAAAATTCAACTTTTCCGTTCCGTTGTCTTCTCGGAGCCAATTAGAATGTTTAGAATGTGTACATGCGCATTAAAGCACGCCATAAGTGTTAACCTAAAGTCCTAAGGCCCGTATCATCAGTCGTCCCTACAATTGTAGGGCGCCTTTATGGCCTCCTTGATTGTCATAGTTTTCTACTTCTCCGTGTCAGAACATCTATTTGCATTAAATTGTGCTTGCTTTTGAGTTATATCATGTTTTATCAGCCTGAAATTTCCTACAATTTAAAAGGAAAACATATCTTCACAATAGGAGAGCGCTGACGCTGACACGGGACAAGTGTAATCTAGAAATTTTTGAAGGACAAAAAGGAGTATGACAATCAAGAAGGCCATAAACGCGCCCTACAATTGTAGGGACGACTGACGATACGGGCCTAAATGGGGCAATGGAGGCAATAAGAAACTGTTCCTCAAAATTATTTTTTTATTTTATCGGATAAATAGTCCAAAAATGAAAAAACAGGTACTGTTCCACAAGAAGTACGAGAAATACAGAATGTATCCGTAAAAATGTTTCGAGTATACCAGAATGAGTATCGACAATCAATATTCAAACAGAACTGAAAAAAAAGTCAATGCAGATAAAATTTTAAGTGCCAGTGAAAAATTGGTTTTGACATTAATGTATGTACCTATCTATATAAAGAATGAAATTTAATTAGCTGAGCATATTTTGGGGAATGATCAATATGAACAACTTTTCTCAAAAAGACATGCACATATGGTCTAAATGGAATTTTTTCATAGCTAAATTTTTTTGGAACTATCATTGCCCAAAATATGGTTATCTAATAACATTTCAACCTGTATATTAATATTTCATGGAATTAAAATACTTCACAATAATTATGTTATTTATATAACTTTAATTCTTTGTAAAACTGAAATAAGATAATTTCTTAACTTTCTAATCAGCCTTTTAGGTTCACTTAAAACATTATGAATTATAATCAGACAGTCTTTTCGATGTTAATTGTGTAGGTACTCTATTCCTTATTAAAAGTATTGCTTATAAGGTTCACCATATATTGTGATACTTATTTCGTCTAAAAGAGCCTAGTTAATTTTATTTCTTAACCTGATTTTTTGTATAGTAGGTAGTTTTTCCATTTCAGGCAAAATACTCATTAAAAAATGGTAGTCATCTGATTTTTTTTCATTGTCAATTTGTGTATTTTTAGAGATATCGTTTTTTAAAATTTTCAGTTTTTTTCTCTTAATCTCTAAATACTGTGCTCGAATATGTTGTAGATTTTGTCGCTTTTTTTTTAATTTTGAGTACTAGATGTAGAGGGTTCAATCGGTGAAGGTGGTGACCTTACTTCATTTAAAATTACAGATATATCATCATTGTCTCCATTATTGATTATTTCACTGTCTCCTTCATCTAAGTTTGATTCAGCAGTTAAATGCATGAACTGATCTTTCAAAAATCCTAATAGCGTGAAGTATTTCCAGGATGGTTCATGATTCGAAGATGAATCACCCGACCGGGATTCAGACATTTTCCTTAACTCCTTACTATATGTGTCTCTCAGGTTCTTCCATTTCTTTTTGAGGTCATCGACTGAAAAAAATTGTTTAGTTTAACTATGCACTTGAGAGAAAAAATAAAGATGGTACATGTGTAGGTACATAAAGAGAAAATGTTTTATGTTTCAGATTTCTCGATGGGATGACTTTTAAATCTCTGGCTCAGTCATACTCTCTAGGCCGAAGCACCGTCGCCAAAACGGTATATCAAACTTTAAAGGCAATTTGGAAAAAGTTGGTTATTCAGCATATGTCACCAAAACTAACAACTGAAGATTTAAGTGAAATTTCAGACGTTTTTTCTATATGGCAATTCTCCAATTACATAGGAGCCATAGATGGTAGCCAATATAATATAAAATTGTTTTTCATTGGTCCTACAAGCAGTTTCGGATGCAGATTATAATTTTCTATAAGTGAGATTGGTGGAAAAGGAAGATACATTTTTGAAAATTTAATAAATTACTTACTAACAATTGATTTAATATGCCACTGCCTAGAACATGACCTGGGTCAAACATTTTACTGCCACACATCCTAGTTGGCGACGAAGCCTATCCACTGAAAACATATCTTGTGCAACCCTTTCCATCCAGTACTTACTTTAGATAATTCGAAAGAAACTTTAATAAAAGATTGTCAAGAGCTCGACTGACAATTTGAATGTGCATATGGTATTATGACTAACAAGTGGCGAGTTTTCCTCAAAGCAATGGAGACGGACACTAAACATACAAAATTAATTATTAAGGTTGGATGACTACTACACAAAGGTACAGATACACATGCTCAAATCTAGCACAAAAGCATGCTATTAATGAGCAATTGCTACTTAGTAGCATGTGTGTACATACATTTCTAGAAATAAGCATGCTTTTTTGAGCATGCTTAAAAATCGACCGTCCTGCGATTCTCGAGCATGCGCGGGTGGAAGGGGGATGTATTTTTAGTGCGTGTGAACAGGTCTGTTTATTATGGTACTGACAGACGTGCTCAAAAAAGCATGGGTCTCAGTGTAGTGTGTCGTTTGAGACATTCCATGGAGCGTTGCAAATTGTTCGCAAAGTTCTACTTTGCAGTACTTGAAGACTTTGCATATGTGGCTTGGCAAGAAAACACCAAGCCGCACATGCATAAGTAATGGCTGGTCTAATAATCATTTTATATACGCGAACTTTGTCTATCAAACTCAATTTGGAGGATCTACATAACAAAGGATTTTGGAATTTTGTTTTCAAGGCTGTTGTATGTTTCTGCCAGGTCATGCCTTTATCAAGGGTGACACCGAGGTACTTGGCAGAATTTGTCCATGGTACACGATTGCCGTCTACAGATACCTCTGCTGCTGGGGGGTCGCGACGTTTTTTGGTACAATAAATAGCCTGCGTTTTCGAATGATTAATTTTAATCAGCCACCGTTCCGCCCACTCTAGTACTTCTTCCACCGCACTCTGCAACCCATCGTGAACCGGATCACCAGTACACGACTGGGCGACAAGTGTAGTGCCGTCAGCAAAGGGGTAGACTTTACAGTTGCTGGGGCAAGGGACATCATGGATAAAAAGCGAATAAAGGATTGGTCCTAGGACCGAACCCTAATGATGACCTCAGCAGTCTTCCACCCATCAGGGAAGTACTGGATTCTGAGCGTCGCATTGATTATTGTCACCAAATATGTCAGGGCTTTCGGCGAGAGCAGCTTCAATGCTTTGTTGGTGATTCGATCCTCCCCAGGAGCTCCGCTACTGTGCTATGTGGAGCCTCAGGCGAATCTTCTGAAGAAGAGTCATCTGAAGAGGATTCAGTGCATCCGCTAACGCCGTTGGCGCTAAAATATCTCCTGACGGATCGTACGATGTGCTGTTCCTCGTCGAGGTCCTTATCAAGATCATAGTTGGGAGAGAACTGTTTTTCCATGGCATCAGCGAAAACCTCGACCTTATCCTCCGTTCTGAAGACTATGCCTTGAGGACCGTGGATGTGCGGGAGTTGTTCTCGCTTTCTGTTTCTGAGTGACTTTGCGACCCTCCAGAGAGGAATACTTAAATCAAGCATTCCCACCAGAAAGTCGCTCCATTGCTCGTTGCGGAGTTCGTGCAGTGCGTTTCTCACTTCATGGACAAGATTTGTAGCCCTACGAATGTCATCAGGATGACAAGACCTTTTTGCCTGCTTAAAAGCGGCTCTTTTATCAGAGATTTTCTGACGAATGTCCGCAGGCAAAAAAGGTCTGCCGTGTCGTTAGACAAGAAGTACAGCTGCGCGCTGTAGAGCTGTTTGAATGAAACTTGTCCACTCCGCTTGAGCGGCATCTATTCCAGACTCATCATCCATAATCGGGATATTGGGAAAGTCTCTAAGGAGCAACTTGTATAGCTCCCAATCAATGCGTTTCCTTGGAGAAGCCCACGTCCAAGACAATAGGTAGATGGTCACTAGAGATATCAGAAAAGATTCGAGAACAAATACTGTATTTACAGTTTTTAGATATCGCGAAGTCGATGACATCTGGTGCCTGAAGATGGTTGAACGGATGAGGTGTCGGCTCTTCAGTGCTATGTATAAGGTACCCATTTCGCATCACATGGTTGTAAAGGGTGTCCCAAAATTAACGCAAGATTTGAATTTGCCGCCATTTGTGCAGTGAAGTGTTGGCAACCCTGAAAAAAAGCAATTTGACAGCTAACAGTATAGGGTTATGAAAAATGGAGCGTTACACGATAGAACAACGTGTCTTCATTATTAAAGAATATTTCAAAAATAGTGAAAGCTTGGCGGCTGCAGTTCGAAAATTTCATACAAAATATGGCCGGAATAGTGTTTTAACTTCGTCAACTGTGAAGAGATTAATTGAAAAATTCATGGAGACTGGATCCGTTGGAGACGCCAAACACACTGGTCGTCCAAAAACAAGCCGTTCAAATGTGAATATCGAAGCAGTGCGTGAGAGTGTTGCGGACAATCCAGGAGGAACCTCAATTCGACGTCGTGGACAAGAATTGCAAATGTCAAGAACCTCTCTACAGCGTATACTCACCAAAGATCTGTGTCTTCATGCTTACAAACTTCAATTAACACAACAATGCTTAATGACCATGCAGAGAGAAGAGAGTTTGTTGAATGGATTATTGAACATCAACAAATGGACCCTGATTTTTCAAGCAAAATCATCCTAAGCGATGAAGCACATTTTCATCTTGATGGCTTTGTCAATCGCCAAAAATTGCCGCATTTGGGGTTCGGAGAACCCACGTGTGATTGTCGAAAAAGAAATGCACCCACAACGCGTGACTGTCTGGTGTGGATTTTGGGCTGGAGGCATAATTGGGCCATATTTTTTTGAAAATGATGCTGGTCAAGCAGTGACTGTTACTGGTGCTCGATATCGCGACATGATTACACAGTTCTTTCTGCCAAAATTGAATGATATTGATGTACCCAATATGTGGTTTCAACAAGACGGTGCCACATGTCATACAGCCCGTGAAACAATTCAATTACTGCATGAGACATTTCCCGGTCGTGTACTCTCTCGTTTCGGTGATCAAAATTGGCCTCCTAGATCGTGTGATTTAACACCATTAGACTTCTTTTTATGGGGTTATTTGAAATCACAAGTCTATGTCAACAAGCCCACAACCACCCGTGCATTAAAGGAGGAGATTCAACGCTGCATCAACGAAATTCAGCCACATTTATGCAGAAGGGTCATGGAAAATTTCGACAAAAGAGTGCGCATGTGCATGCAAAGCCGTGGAGGCCATTTGTCCGATGTGTTATTCCATACATAACCCTATCCTATGTACTTTATGAGTCAATAAAAATATAACTATTAAAAGACTAAAAATGGCATTTTCTATTTAATTCAAATCTTGCGTTAATTTTGGGACACCCTTTACAATCGAATCCCACTAGTGGAATTCAACCTAGAATTCCATGCTCGATGTTTGCAGTTGAAGTCCCCTGCCACAATAAGCGAACCCGAGTAGTCCAAAAGGACCTCCAGATCCGCCTCTTGTAGCCTGGCACCACACCTGACATACACCGATGTGATCTTCAACGAGACACCTCCCGCCATATTGATCACCACAGAAGCTGCTTCGATGCTATGCATCTCCGCATTACGAGGGATGTCTTTTAAGTTTCGCATATGGAAATAAAACAACACAGAAGGTAGTTTTACATGACTTTATTGTTTTTCAAAGTATTCTTCACGAAGATTAATACACATCTGCATGCGCTCGAACCAATTATTCCACTCGTTTGCTGGCAGATCCAAAACGGCATTTTTGAATGCGTCAACTGCTTCTTCTGGTGACTGGAACCTTTGACCACGCAGTCTGTTTTTAATTTTCGGGAAAGTAAAGAAATCGTTAGGACTTAGATCGGGACTATATGGAGGATGATCCAATAATTCCACGTTTTCTTCCGTTAAATGCTGTTTTTTGGGCTGTGTGCGAGCTTGCATTGTCTTGGTGGAGGATGATTCTTCTTTCGGGGTTGATTTTTCGAAGCTCGGTGATGACTTTTGCCAAACAAATGGTATACCAATCCGCAGTAATAGTTCTTTGCTCATTAAGAGGAATTGTTGCAATATGACCCGCTTTTGACACAAATGTCGCGACCATCTTTTTCGAAACACTTCGAGAACGGATGACTTTTGTTGGCTTTTCTTCACCTTGGAACACCCAAACAGCCGACTGTTGTTTATTTTCTGGTTCATAACAGTAAATCCACGAGTAATCACCACTAACGGTGCTGTACACATTTTTTGAGTTTCCGGAATTGAAACGATCAAGCGTTTTTTGACACCAATTAACCCTGGCTGCTTTCTGCTCTTCAGTCAACAGGTGGGGTATCCAACGAGAAACTAATTTTCTTACTCCTAATTCTTCATGTAAAATTTTTTGAATCGATGTCTTTGAGATCTTCAAGGACGCCTCAACCTCGCAATATGTCACATGTCTATCTTCAATGATGAGTTTGCGCACAGCATCGACGTTTTCCTGGATAAATTATGGCGCGAAAATGTTCTCGGTTGAGTTCCATTTTTCTAATGACTTGGTGGCACTTAAAAATTCACTGTAGGGAGAACACTGCACGTATTGTTGTGAAACTTTGAATTTAAGTTTACTAAAGAGCAAGGTTAAGATTTGGTACTGACGTTCGATCCGCGTGGCCTACTATGTTTCTATATGCAAAACTTAAAAGACATCCCTCGTAGTGCTTCTATAATAGCCTATACCGCGCTTAATCAACACTGCTAAACCGCCACCTCGACCGTTCAATCTGTCACCTCGGATAACATCGTAATTCGGGAGAGCTAAACGATCTCTCGGATTAAGTGACGTTTCCTGCAGTAAGGCCACATCTATACCTTCATCCAAAAGAGCTTGATGAAATTCCCGTTTTTTGGGAATATCCCTCATGCCCAAACAATTCCAAAAAAGAATTTTGGTGAATGCAGACTGTCTACTATTGTACCTAGACATTTGCAGGAAATATCGCCTGCAACGCTTGAGTAGCGCTAATCAGTGGGCCTATTATTTGTTGTAGCGACCTTAGCGCGGTTGCCAGGTCCACATTTTGTGTGTTCAAGGGAGGTTGGGCAGACGGGGGCAGGCAAGGTTGCCTCCTTAGCTGCGTCCGCGTATGATGTGAGGGGCCACAAATGCGTCATGTGGTCCTTTGCACATTTTAAGCATTTGGGCGGTGCAGTGCAATATGACTGCCCATGCCCGTACTTTTGGCAGCGGTGACACTACCCAATGAGTCTGGAGTTCTTCTGAACCTTCAATCGAATGACGTGGAGAGGGCTATATCCCCTGTGCTCAAGTTCTCTCTTAATCTCAGTATCCGAAAAGTTGACGGGAACTCCTCGAACCACCGCGTGGATGTTCCGTTCCGAAGGGAGAGGAAAAGTGTGATGAGGCACTTCTTCCTCTCGGAACAGTCGAACGATCTTACGATAGTCTTCCTCAGATTTAGGAATAATCCTTATTCCCGCATCGAAGCAACCGCGCGATCTATTTTAATGCCTAGGGAAATGAATTTGTAGTTTAACGTACGTAACCTCGCCCCATCACGCAGAACAATAGGCGTGACGCGCCTTTGGCGTGGAGGTTGGCTTGATGCCACTTCAGCTGAGCGAGATGGCTGAGAAGTGACATTGGCCGACGGGGTGACCTTAGATGTAGATAATGTAGTCCCTCCGCCAACCGATGACAAAGGTTTGGTAATAGACATAGTGTGGCTGGTATTTTGTTTTGATGAAGTGGGGGAGGTGCGTAAGAGAGTGGATTCTGTATTTGGAAGAGGTGGAAACTCTTCGGCTCTTCGGTCAGTCTTGTTGCTTCTCCTCCTTCTAGATTTTGCGTTTATAAATCCGTCGGTGTGTGTGTCATCGTCTGTGGATGTATATTGATCGTCGGTCATGGTCCGTAGCGGTCTCTTTAGGCTGTTGGTCCGTTTTTTGGCGGATTCTTTCGAACTTATTAAAAGAGTTACCTGGGCGGTCAGGCTGTCAATTTTAGCCGTCTGGTCCTTGATTGTCTGCATGAGTTCTCGGATTTGCCTCGCATGGTCGTCTATAATCATCATCAGTTTCTCATTGGTTCGATGACATCTGCGTCAGTGGGCCCATGTTTTCAGTTTTTGAACGTGATTCGCCGCCGCTCAGCTTCTTCCCCATTATCAGTGGTACTGCTTCCTCTTTGAACCCTCCTGGGTCAACCTCCATGTTAAAATAGCTTTTTATTCCAACAAACTCGTAAAAACCTTTAAGCTCGCAAATGTGACAACGTTGTCAAAACCCTTCCTACAGGGCGTTTTGCCCATAAATTTGATATCAAAGATCGTGAAGTCAACTGTAATTGACTCAGCATTAGAATGCCATCGACTTTGGAATCAAAAGTCGTTGATCCTGAGATTGAAAATTAATGGCACTGAATTCAATAATCATTAACTGTATACCGAAGACGCCGAGTTGAAATGTATGGTTGACCTTGCACCTCTATTAGGAAAATGGGAATTTCTAGGTGAACAACTGGCTCAAGAATATTTTAACTATCTTCACTAGTGTGCCTTTAAACATTTGAGAGTATCTACATACTTTCGGTTCATCAAATCAAACGATAAAAATGTATCGTACAAACTGGATAGCCCTCTTTTTTCACCACCTCCAGGGCAAGAGTTTTTCCACTCCCTTATACCTACGGCAATGACATTAACAGATGAATCATTTTTCGTATCAACCATAAATATGATAAATATTCATGACACATTCACATCTCTGGCCGAACTCGTTGGATAATGAAAAAACGTTGAAACGACCGTGACCTCCAGCATTATTTCTAAAAATAGACTTGCGCTTGATAACTCAAACGATCTAAAGCGTAATTTGTATTGGTGAAACACACATATAACTAAGTAATTTTCAATTGCGGCATGCTTAAACCAAAATACGAATTAATATAACTTTAAGAAGAGCATTAGGAATCGGAGGAATGGTTTCCGGTGGTCTTGAGCCCGACAATTTCGATTCCGAATCCGGTGGTTTTGATTCCGATGGTCTTGGTTCCGGTGTTTTCGGTTCCATCCGGGTCGTATCAGATTTGGAGAAACTGTTTGAAAGCCACTATACTGCTCGCACCCGAATACCGCTGGTGCTGCTACCGCAATAAAAATAGTCGCACTAACGCTTTTGATTCCAGTGGCTCTAAATTAGGAACGATCTAAATGATCATTTGGAATGCAGTAATGAACGACGACGATTGTTGAGTTTATGATTAGATGCCATTTAATGTTTTCAATATTATATTTTTAATGAGGAAATTTTCCGTGCATACACTTTTTAAATAAATGCAACATTTTGGAATATGTTTTTCTTTATTTTGCAATACAATATATCATGAACACTTTTGTTTCTCTCTTTCGAAAATGGTAGAAAGCAAGTAACTCGTAATTGCCAAATCTGTTGTATTCTGCTATTGGTAACGTTGCACTAAATAATTCTTGTTACCCAGAAACACATCCAAATCTGTACAGAACAGCAACAAATTTAAGATGAACATTCATAAAAGCCATGGGAAACTGTTTTATAAATGACGGTAGGGTCGATACCCGATGGTATATATGAACATACCGTCCTACATCCTACATCGATGTTCTAAATAAGGCAACCTTGCACGTGCCTCGAAGCTTCAGACTGCAGACCGAGACCAGCCAGTGTCGCGACGGTTTCGTTCCGTTGCATTCCATACAAATTACAGTGAATGGGAATCAAAAACTATCGGAATCGTGAACAAATGGAAGGAATCGGTTACGAGGCTGCAATAGGAATCGTGAACGAATCTATTTCGAGGCCCGGAATCGAATCACCGATAGAAACGATTTTGTATTGTCAATATTAAAAAATATGTCCATTGTTTGTAGCTGTTCGACAGAAGTTTAAATTTGTGGGAATGCGTGGGCAACATTGCAACTATCGGCAGTTGTTTGATTTCGATGGTTATTTCAAGTCATGCAAGAAAAACTTGAGTCGAACTAGTAAAAGCATGACGGAATACAGTCAGAAATAATGTTTTCTCCAATTTTCAACATCTACAGAGTCGTTTTTCAACAAATGTATCTTACCTACCTCAAATTGGGTCCTTACCCCGCCACTGCACTTGTATTAAAATACCATCGAGAGATTTGCGGTTGGCGACATGGCAACTCAGATATCCGAGATAGGTGGTTCCCACAAAGCAAATCGCATGATAACTATAAATGTCCTTAAATACCTCGCTTCCGCTTAGTCACAGTGTGCCGTTGGAAATATAAGGTGGCTAGAGTCAATATGAATAAAGTGTACTTGTATTCTTGGCTTTGTGCAATTATTCCAGTGATATGTTCCTGGGAAAAAGGAGATGGTTATATATCGTGAGTTTCATATTTTTTATTGTATATTTTGAGAACCCCAGTTTGTATAATTGCAACTAAGAAACAAGATAAGGCTCCACTGATTACATCTCACTACTTCTGCAAAACACAAATCAAATAAATATTTATTTAAACAGCATTTATCAAATTCATATTTCCTGCCAGTTCACATTTAATACTTTAACTTTCTTCTTTTATCTTGGAATTTCGTATGAGGGAACCTTAATTTCCACTATAATTTTGTGAGTGGTATCTCTGAGGCCTACGATTAGTGTTCATATAAAATTTTCGAAGTCATCTAAGTTGAGAAAGAGCGCATGCTGTTCACAAGGTTGCCTTGAGCAAACAGTTTTTTTAATAGCTGAAAGGTAGTGATATTTAACATGACATAGTTTGGTGTTTAAAATGAATTTGAATTAATTAAAGACTTGCACACGGTTGCTGAAAAAGTCAATGTTGTATACTTTATTTTCAGAATCGATCTCATACGACAAAAAACGCCCCGGATGCAATACTTGGAAAATCCACATTTAGCAGATAAAATGGGTTTTGGAGAATGGTTTCATAAGCCAAAACCTAAGCCTAAACCTGGTAATGACTCCATTGCACTTTACAGATTCCTTGATGTAAGTATTGTGAGTTATGTCAACTAGTAGAACATTGTTTTGTCTTTACTTTCCACATCATTGTAGGAAAATTTTAAATTTGAGATATGTTCTTTGGATGCTGTAAATAACATATATTTTGACAAATCGTGAGAGGTACAAAGTTTTATTATGGAAAAACATTATTTTTACTATAAATCAGAAAGTACCACTCAGATGCTGATGAAACTGGATGCCTCTTTTGGATTTTCAGAATCAATCCAATGGCGGTGGTGTAATTATTACACTGTATATAAATGAGAAACAAGTACATTAAAAGAAATGAGATTATACCCAGTGTTATTTGCACTATCAAGACAAATCTAGATACCCATCGTACGTCAAAATTCATCACAACATTTAATGAAATTTTAATCATGAAATTTTAAAGCTGAAATTTTTGGATTTCGATTTTATACAATTTTAATGTAGCCAGTCATTCTGTTAAAATGAATCTAACCAGACCTCATATCTCAAAGTCCATTAAGCATTTTGAACTGTAGCCAGAGAAATAGAATTGGTTGTCCATATACCCACGCGCGAAAAACTTAACCTTCCTTCACACATTGAGTGCTAGCCTAATAAACTCAAGAAATATTTATTTTGATGCATTCCGCGGCCGGCAAACCTAATATAATTTACACAGAACTAATTACTGGTAGCGCTAAAGGTTAAAAGTAGTGATACATGACATTACACTATGTGTTAAAGGCGATCAAGTAGGTAAATATCCGAATTCTGTGAAATATTGACACTAAAAAGGAAGAAGAGAATCTCATTGGACAGACCTAAACATTGTTGGAATATGATGGTTGACAAATTTTGGTGAGGTAACTTGTGCAAATTTACTTACCTACTTGCAGCGACTTCCCGTGCATATTTTTGTAGCATAAAGGTCTATTCACACTCAGCCGTGACATGACACCGGTCAGTATTTTTCTCCGTGCTCTGACAGTGCAGTTGTGTTCACGTGAGGTCAAGATGGCAAAATTTTCAGAGGATGAACTTGCAATTATTGCATTAATTTTGGATTTTTTTATACTTCAACTACCACGAAGGCGTAAGGCCTAAACACCCATGGGGTACCGTGGTACTATAGGAGGAAACACAGGAGAAAGGGGCGACGCCACACGGACTCTGGCGCGGGAACACATTGTGGCCCCGCCTACGAGATCCGCCGGAAGGTACCTCCGCGTTCGACACTCAGAGACTGTCTACCACCTACGAAAGATGAAGAAGAAACGAGAAGAAAACGGAAGTCCGTGTATTTTGAATTTGACTGGCTCTACAGCACGGGATGCACGCGTACAAATTCAATTAGTTTTGCATGATTCATGTTTTTTACCACTTACCAAAAAGGCCTATTCATACTCAGCCGTGACGTGTCCGTGCTGTGAGTTTCGCCGGAACGTGATCCGCCCGGCGAAACTAAAAAGATTCTTCCTGGAATTTGGATGAACTGATTCACACTAGACCGGCACGTGGAAATGGCCGTGTTCTCAGTGCCCTCGACGACGCCGTACCGTGACTATCGCATTGTTTTGGAACGATATTTTTCGGTTTTCACGGCAATGTTGTTATGTAGTGTCGTGAGTATTTTGATATAATTGGTCAAAAACATGAATGATGGAAAACTAATTGAATTTGTACGCTTACATCCCGTGCTGTAGAACCAGTCAAATTCGAAATACATTTCTTCTTCTTTATCTTTCGTAGGTGGTAGACGGTCTCTGATGACTGTCGAACGCGGAGGTACCACCCGGCGGATCTCCTAGGCGGGGCCCGAATGTGTGCATATTACATGTACGAGTACACGTGTTCCCTCGCCAGAGTCCGTGTGGCGTCCCCCCTTTCGCCTGTGTTTCCCCCTATAGCACCACGATACCCATGGGTGTTTAGGCCTTAGGCCTTCGTGATAGTCGGAGTATAAAGAAAACATCCAGAATTAATGCAATAATCCTCTGAAAATTTTGCCATCTCGACCTCACGTGAACACTGTCAGAGCACGGAGAAAAATATTGACCAGTGTAGGAATTGAAAATACTGTGAGCTCACGTCAGTGAGAATCACTGGCACGTCACTGCACTGCCACGTCACGGCTGAGTGTGAATAGACGTAAACAATGCGATGATCATGGTACGGCGTCGTCGAGGGCTCTTCCACGTGCCGGCCTAGTGTGAATCAGTTCATCCAAATTCCAGGAAGAATGTTTTTAGTTTCGCCGGGCGGATCTCGTGCCGTTCACAGCACTGTCACGTCACGGCTGAGTATGAATAGGCCGTATTTCCAAATAAAGACGACTATTATTATTATTAATATTATTGTATATTTGGTCAAAAACATGAATGATGAAAAACTAATTGAATTTGTGCGCGCACATCCCGTGCTGTACAACCAGTCAAATTCAAAATTCTAGACTTCCGTTTTAACCTCGTTTCTACTTCTTCTTCGTCCAGAAGCTATGCAATAATTGCAAGTTCATCCTCTGAAAATTTCGACCTCACGTGAACACAACTGCACTGTCAGAGCACGGAGAAAAATACTGACCGGTGTGAATTGAAAACACTGTGAGCTCATCTCAGCGAGAATCACTGGCACGTCACGGCACTGTCACGTCACGGCTGAGTATGAATAGGCCTTAATACTCGTATCTCTTAGGGAAAAGTCCTGGGAAATCCTGATCCCAAAATTAATGAACATTAAATTAAAAATATGAATTTAACTTAAATTTAAAACTCCCGTTCTCGTTCGGGTTCTGTATCATATTTGCCGGGGGCACTACTTAATAGTTTGTTGAAGACTGATTGATAGCCAAGAATATTTTTTATCATAATAATACTATAAGTGAAATATTATGCAGTCTACATATGCCAAAAAGCTTGATTTTAACACAAACACCTAATGTCTCGGAAGTATCGAAAATCCCGGGAGTCCCAGGAAGAGCACTCGTTCTTCATTTTTACTTCCTATGCCAAAACTGGCGAGAAAGTCGCAAAAAATATAATCGCTTAAACATTGTTTATGGAGGTTTCAGCGGCTCCTGATCATTTTCAAGAATTTTTTTGAAAGGGGTTGAAACTCAGGGGTTGTAGTTGTAAATGTATAGTATTAGTCAAAGACGTTTTATCATTAAGGAGCTTCTGGTCCCGGTAACAACAGGAAAATTAAATTATAGAAGTCTGATGTATAATGTGCTCTTAATTTGAAATAACTTGTCAATCGTTGGCGTTGTGTGCACGGCACGATGCTGCATTGTCGTGAAGGCCACTGCCGACTGTCCAATTGGTAATAAACTCCAACTGGTCTGCGGTGGTGGCATCACTGACACACCGCTACAGGAGAAATAGTCACATATTTTAGCAATATTTGGATATTATGAGTACGTACCACTTTGTTTTCTAAATATTTCGTAAAGTATACTGAGGGACAAAAAAAGGTCAACACCTACGTAATATTTATTAAAATTCATATCATTCATATATCGATTTACCTTGCCACAAACAACAAGTGATAAAATGGTCAGGTCTTTCTGTTAGGTTTTTGTGGTGGCTGCGTGTATTGTTTGGTGATAAAGAAAATTTAATTTACTAGTAAGGGACACTGAACATATATTAAAAATTATTATTAAAATCGGATAAACACCTTTTTGTGTCACTCAGCATAGATTGGCTCAGTACGTATGACGCATTGATATACAACAGACACAGACTGACAAAGCGACATAAATGATTAACATGGACTTGTTTTGGTTTAGGTAGTCGTAGATTTTGAAAATTGATTCAGATGCGGCGGAAATAAAATTGCGGGAACATAGTGTTACAACGTTTCTCATATTCCTGCTCATTTTCAGACATTGTTTGGAGGGGATGAAAATTGTAGGTTGAAAGCTGTATGCGGTAAATGGTTATAAATTGTTGCATATTTGGTACCAAGTGAAATACCTTCTATTTAAAAAGTTTCTAATCTCAGCAATACTATTCACTTGTTAGATATGTCACACATGTTTCCGCAGTTCTGCAATGGAAACAAAAATATGATAGATTAGCTTTATATAGTTGCATAGGTCGAAGATTCGTGGTACCAAGTGAATCTACATATTCACGATTTGATTTCGTCTTTTGAAATGATTTGACTCGTTTTTTTCTTTTAAACCACCTACGAACGGGTAGGAAGTATAGTCAATCTACTTGACGCCATTTTTTGATACCAAAGTAGTCGCGTAGTCAGAAGCCTAAATATCGGGGCACCGCGGGAGCTACAGGGAGCTTAAACACACCTTATTAATCCGCGTTCTGAACAGCCTAAGGTTAGTAGAACTAGGAGAAGCCTCCTCAGACAGATTGTGCCACACCCTGGACACCCTAGGAACAAAAGAACGGACGTACCTTTCAGTTTTGCGTGTACGAAGTTCGACACGGTTAGGATGGGAGACCAAACTCGGGCGGGTCTGTTTGGCAGGCTCATCGCGTGGTGGCATTGTGGAGGAGAGCTTTGAGGAGCAAAGACCATCGACATAACGGTAGAAGATCGCCGACAGCTCGTCGGTGCGAAAGGGTCCCGAGACTGCCCGTTAGAGAAGACTCATCAATTAGCAGGGCAGCCCTTCTCTGATAAGCATCGAGCATGAATAATGTAGTCGGGCGGCAGCACCACAAACATAATTTCATAATATAAGTTTTTCCATATCTGTCAATTTGCCTAGTAGTCTAATCATATTAGCAAATTTTCCGGAGATAATTGTAAAGTCTGGTTTTATTGGTGAATGTTGTTCAAGGGGGTATAGTTTTTTGAGAATTTCTAATTGTTTATCCCAAAACATCTGTTTTCCGGCCACCACTACTAGTTTATACAGGGTGTTCCGTAATTATTGCGACAAAATGATAGGGGTTGTAGAGAACATAAAAATATGCAATTTTGCCTTATAAATCCCTGTTCGTAAATATGCCGCTTGAGCACTACCGCTAATTTTACCTTAAGAGCTCATAGGAGAAACAAAAAATTCCCCAGCTGCAAAATGTTCGTCTAGCACATTTCATGGTCTCGCCGGTTTGTAAAAAAAAGCCTGCTGTGTTTACATTTTTGTTATCGTAAATTCTCCACACCGATTCATTTAATTTATCTGAGTGGTGCGTCAAACTAGATAGTAAATAACAGTACCTTACTGTTAAAATGCAGCGTTATTCGTATGCAGAACTTGCGGATATGCATTTAATTTACGGAGAAGCTGGTGGTAACGGAAGACGAGCCTCGCGAATCTACGCCCAACGGTTTCCAGAACGTCCTCATCCGCATCACGCCATTTTTGCAAGGATTCATGGACGTCTTCGTATCAGTGGCAGCATCAGACACCTCGCGGGAGCAGGGAGGCCCTTCACGAGGCGCACAGTAGAATTTGAGGAAGCGATTCTGCATCATGTAGAGGCCAATCCGCGTACAAGCGTACGTGCTATTACACATGATATGGGAGCGTCTCAAACTACTGTTTGGCGGGTTCTCCTTGATCAGCAACTACACCCATACCACCTTTTAAAAGTCCAATCCATGGGTCCAGAAGACTATCTGCCGCGTCGACGTTTTTGTCGTTGGTGGCTGCAGCAGGAGTTGAGGCAACCAAACTTTGGTCGCTACGTTTTGTTCACTGACGAGTCCTGTTTTACAAAGGACGGTTATTTTAATAGCCGTAACAGTCACATTTGGGATGAAGAAAACCCTCATGCCATAGCCATCCATAGAGACCAACATCAGTTTTCAATTAACATCTGGTGCGGCATTGTGGACGAGCATATCATCGGGCCATATTTGCTTCCACCACGTTTGGATGGGCATGCTTATGGTCGATTCTTACAGCATGTGCTTCCGGAACTATTAGAAAATGTGCCACTGAACATAAGAGCCAACATGTGGTTTCAACACGATGGCGCTCCAGCCCACTTTTCTTTACAAGTGCGGCTGTATTTGGACGACAAATTTCCAAATAGGTGGATAGGCCGAGGTGGCCCTGTGCCTTGACCTGCGCGGTCACCCGACCTGGTCCCACTGGATTATTTTCTCTGGAGCCATCTGAAAGCTTTAGTGTACGAAACTCCTGTTCACAACCAACAAGAGCTACTGGGAAGAGTGATGGCCGCGACCGCACATGTTCAGGACATACCGGGGGTATGCCACAGAGTTCGCCGATTATTGAACAATCGTGCACAGCTGTGTATTGAGCAAGGTGGAGGACACTGAGCAATTACTGTAGGTAAGCTGTTTCAAGAAACTTATCTTTTTTTTACTGCAGCCCAAACGGCATATTTCCGAACAGGGGTATATAAGGCAAAATTGTTCATTTTGATGCCCTCTAAAACCCCTATCATTTTGTCGCAATCATTATGGAACACCCTGTATATAGGGTTCGTTCAAAGAGCACTTAATAGCAAGATAGACGTGTTTACCTTGCCGATATGAATCACAAACCATTCCGAAAGATAAATGTTAGTTTCATGCGAAAAACAAAGGTTACGTTTTTTTCTTCTAAACAAATTCAAACATTTCGTATTTGTGAGTAATTGAACAAATGCGCTACAAATGTGTCTACAATCTTTTGTTGCGAATTACTCACATATACAAAATGTTTGAATTTGTTTAGATGACAAAACGTAACCCATCCTTTTTTGCATAAAAATAACATTTATCTTCCGGAATGGTTTGCGATTCATATCGGCAAGGTAAACTAGTGTATTTTGCTATAAAATGCCCTTTGAACTAACTCTGTATATTGCTCAATAAATTAGTAGTGATGGGATGAACAATTGGAAATTCTCAAAAACTACTTGACCAATTTACTCCAATTTTGTTGTGGTTATTTAAAAGTGCGAATTCTACGAATTTGAAGAATCTCAAATATCTGCGAAAAAGCGTCGTCGCATTACCAACAAACCAACAAGTGCCAAAACCTGCAGTTTGCCTCGGTTTTCGGCCGTAAGTTTTTTTGCTATTAGTCGGATCTTATATGAAGAATTTTTTCGTTCCTGCCTGCACTTTCGATTGAATCCCAAAAAACACGTTTTCACATTCTTTGTTGTCGAACAAAAGGTTTTCCCACAAAAATTGGTGTACCCATTTTATGCTTCCATGTTTGAATACCCCCCTGAACAACTTGCAGCAATAAAACCAGACTTGACAATTATTTCGCAAACCAGGGGTATTTTTATCTAATATGAATATATCGAAAAAACAGGAAAATTCCTTTAATTAATAATTGATCATTATTTTTACGCCAGAAATAAAAATCACTAATTCGCTCATATACATCATATATTTACAGTTTAAGCTGTATGTATACTACTCATCCAATAAAACAGTAACATACAAACAAACAGTAATAGCAATTCTCAACTGCTTATCACTTCTCCTTAATATTAAAGTGGAATGTAAGCATTCCATGATTGGAATAACTGGACAAAATACTATTCGGAAACATAATACACCTCTTTGACAGCTCTTCTTCAGACACATCGCTCAGACAGTAGTCGGTTCTGATGAATTTCTTCTCAGGTCTTCTCATGTCCATGAGGGTGACTCCGTAGACGTATGTCTTCATGTCAATGTTGCTGCCATATACCTCGGCGGCCCAAAGGCAGTGGTCTGCATTTTTTTTGCAAGACAGTCTGAAAATTTGGTTGAAGGCGATCACACATTTGCGGTCAAAGACTTTGTTGCAGCACGATGTGTTATCCAGGCGGAATGAATCAGTGTAACCTGCAAATGAAAAATATATTACATTATTTTCTAAAAAAATATGCGCATCATATCAATAAAAAATATCGATGGTGAAGAATGGAATACTTTGTATGTGAGTAACAAGATGTTACCAAAACAAAGGTCAAAAATTTAAGTGACGATTTTTTGGACTATTTTAAGACGACGTTCCTTTGACAATTTACATAAAACTGCTTCATTTCGAACATACAGGGCGGACAAAATTTAAAAAAATTCAGCAAAAATGGTATGTGAAGTACGTAGCCATACATACGTCAAACGGTTAACGCCAGAGAATAGAGATAATATTCCCCACAACTGATTCTGAGGACAAGGCGTGACAATGGTAACTTTCCTTTTGCAGTTGAGTGACTCACCGTATAAGTGAGGAAAGTGATTCTTCTTAGATGTCAAAAGGAACGGTCAAATGAGAATTCCATCTCACAAGCGCGGAACATGTACCTGGAAGTCAGATGTCAGTGTTCTATGAAAATCTTTTATTACTGTCGGTGCATTTCTAAACTGCAACTAAAAGTTTGTAAGATATTGAACCAAATCCCCAGAAAATGTATAAGCTTAACCAACAAATAATCCCCTCCACTTATCCAATCAAGTGAGTCAAAAATATCATATCATATCATCAAGGCATGTACCGCACATGCTCCAGGGGCGAGGGAGAATTGAGGAAACTCGCCTCACTTTTACAAATGGAACGCACTGACATGTGAGACGCCTTGTGTGAGAATGAAATGAGATTATCTGATGACGTGGCCAAAAGAAAAGCTACTATTACATACCTAGTCTGATGTGGTTTACTAACTCTAGCAGCTTTTCTTTTGGTAGCTTTGTCAGATACGAGGTCTGTAAATTAAGTGATGAAACTGATTTTTTTTTATTCAAACATAATTATAATTTTATAACACAGCGCTGGAGACGGTTCTTCCACTCCTCATAGCAGTGCTGGAACTCTGATACTGGAATAGGCTTCAGCTGGTCAGCAGCCATTTGAATGTTTTCGAATGTTCCCTGGAGGTGATTTTTCATTCGGGAAGAGAAAAAAGTCACAAGGACTCAAGTCAAGCGAATAAGGAGGCTGAAGAGCCACAGGAATCTTTTTGCTGGTCAAAAACTCGTTTATTGACATTGATGTATGACAAGGAGGATTATCGTGATGGTTCTTGATCTGATAAAATGGTGATGCGAGCCAACAGTTAACTCTTGCTCGATCATTCTGACTGTCAACTGACGATCTGAACGCTCAAGATCCCTGAGTCTGTCGATATTTTCATCGGTTCTTGAAGACGAAGGTCTTCCGCTTCGTGGTTCATCTTCAATCTACTCTCTATCTTCTGAAAATGCCTTCGACCACTGAAAAACCTGGGCTCTTGATCTCCATAGGCCTGTTTAGAAATAAATGTTTCACAAAAAAATCGCTGCGGACAACCAAAATAGTCAGGCGAGTTCAAATTTGTACTGTACTACAAGTTCTCCTGTTTCCCCTCCAAGCCCGGCACCTCCAGTGTTGTCAGATCGTAATCTCATTTCACTTCAAGTTACCTCTCATATGTCAATGCGTTCCATTTGCCAAAGTGAGATATGAGCTTCCTCACTTCCCCCTCGCCTCTCGATCATATGCTTATCGGTACATGCTTTAGAGATTTCTGCTAACTTGATTGGTTGGTTGGAGATGATTATTTGTTGGTTATATTTATATATGTTCTGACGATTGGTGAATTTTGGTTAAAGATTTTGCAAACCTTTTTTTAGATCTGCAACGACAATACGCGAACAATCTCCTTACAATGCTGAAATTTAACGTTCTAAATAAACGTGCCTCGCTTGTGAGGTGAAAAGCTCACTTGACCGTTCCTTTTGACATTTAGAAAAATCACTCTACTCACTTGTGTGGTACAAAAGAAGAGTTACATATGCCACAAAATATTTGATTGTATACCACGTTTCCAATACTTTTATAAGTATTTTAAAATATCTGGTTGGTATCAACTAAAATTAGTGACTGCAACTGGAAGCCGATTCGGTTGAGGAAAAAATGAAGAAACTCAATACATTTTTGGATGCAGAACATTGATATTCCATTAAAATGAAAATTCAAAATATTTATTTCGTCACGAGTAAACATTACAATCAATACAAAATAATATGTTTAGAAAATACACTATTATCAGATTTTCCGATAAAGTTTCAAAATAACTTCTTTGCCCAGTTTAATCGATAAAACATTTTCATGGATACCGGCAATTTCGGAACTAACTGTTAAAGGGACCGAAAGGCCTGCAAGTTTCGCGAGTTTCGAGACTTTGGGGCCAAATTTAGTTTTGGTGTTAAAATCAAGTTAAAATAGACTGTTCGGCCTAGTTTGTTTTATGTGAAAAAATCATTTCACTTGAATTATTTATTATAAAAAACAATATTATGAATCAGTCCTGAACAAACTAGTAAGTAGTGATATTCACTAGTTATAAATAATCAATACTTCTTCCGCCACCGGTGCGGAAACATTGCGAGGTAGACAATTTTTGAAAATGAGATACGTTTTTTGGGTTTACCGCTCGGATATTGATGTAATTTTCACACATGGTTACTACTACGCCAAGGACAAAAAACTTTGTAGATTACATTCCGAGGACTACTTCATAGTCCATACCACCTTTTGAATCTTCCCTCCCTATTTTTGAAATACTCTGTATGATAAAGAAACAGTATTAAGTGCATACCTGTAGCTCCATTGTATATAACAGATTCTGAATGAAATGCGATCAGATGATTGATCATTGTATGATAATTCCCAGTAGAGGTACAGTTGGTAAATGGACAGCTGTATGGCTTAAACTGACACTCCCGCTCATGTCTGCTGATAACATTCGCAATAGCAGTTTCTGGACATCCCAGGTCGTGGTACAAACAAGGGTACTGCACGCCTGAAGTGAGGCCCTCCAGGGAGTAGTTCCTGGTACTGCCGAAGATGGCGCGACAAGTCGGACATTTTTCTAGTCGGGGTCGGCAACTGTTGCAAATGCTGTGACCCGATTGACATTGGTAGATGGGCGGTTTCATGTAGTTCTTGCAGACGGGGCATTCGAAGAAGTGTAATATCTGGAATGCAAATTGCGAAGATGCTAGAGTTATTATGACAAACAGAAAAAGTAATGGTCAATTTCGGCTCTTGTTGGTGAATTCGTGTCTAAGAGTGCGAGCGTGTTAATTAAACTGGAAAAGTTATACCAACGAACTATACCAGTCGAATCTAGTTTCACTGTAAAGTGAAAATACGAAATTTTAATCCGTTTTTCGAGTTTCTTTGAAACTGAAAGTAAATAGTGAGTAAACAAGATTCCATTTAAAAGGATTTGGGTGATTCCAGTGGTGTACGACATTATTTTAAATGCGACATCAACGAGAAATTAATACATAACAAGGAGGAATCTCTTGGGTCATTTAAATGCTGTAAAATGAAAGATTTAACATGCCTAGTACGTATATACTGCTTCAAGGTATTCCACGGAAGCTGCGTGGAAAGGATAGACGTCATCATTAATGAAAAACAAAATATTGTACAGCAAAGACTGTGAAGGCAGCTATGAAGCTGATATAGTAAAGCAGCTCAAGGAGAAAATTACCGAATTAAATGTTGAAATTGAGCAAAAAGATGAATTTATTAATAGACAAAAGAAATCACCAGCTATAGATGAAGATGCAATTGAATGGGAAAATCAGGGAAATTGAAGGCAAGGATAGATCAATACAACAAAGGAGCTACTAAAGCAAATTGAGAATTTAGAAAAAAATAAGTATCAGAAAGAACACAAACTGCTATCCAAACAAGCTATACTGTCAATTCCAGATGTAACAGCTAGTAGTGAAATCAGTCAAGTATACTGTTACTTCATTATCAAGCTGGTACAGTCGGAGTTTGAGGCATGTGTTTAAAAGTTTGCCACAAATTACATTTTCTAAGTAGGATATCTCCAGGTACCAGTAGCGAAGCATCTATATGCATTCAGCTCGTACCCAATGAAGCCATCAAGCAGAAATACGTATTGTTCAGCTTAACTATCCTTCTTTTTCTGCACGATTCCACTTTTCTTATTTTTGCGTAATTGCCCATTATTTTTTTCTATTGGTTATATATTTTTCTCGGCATGATCCTTTCTCTTTTTTTTGCTAGAACTATTTCTATTAGTGGGGTGTTTATACATCGGAATCTGGAGAAGCTCAACAGACTTGGAAAATTCAGTGAAATGTAATTATTTATTAATTATGTGCGCTTTTTGATTTTCAATAAATGTTAATCTTTAAAATTTTGTTCATTTCTGTATATGGTTATTTAGGTTTATAATACACCAGCTGATAGAACTCAAATACACAAACAAGATCATTACAAATTATGTATTGCAGCTTCCATGCTTCCAAATATTCCTAGATAAACAAGATTATAACTCGCAGATTTGGATCCGTATGAAGTAAAATATATTCCAGGATTTGTAAATATGCCTCAATTAAATATGTGGGTTTTATTGTTAATGCCGTTTCCTGATGAATAAACCTAGGTCGATACAGTGATATTTCCACATTTCTATTTAATTCTGGGAGTTTCATTATTTAGCAATCTAACTCTTAAATTACTTACAGGAAGAAATATTCTTTTGTCTGAAAGTCACTTGACTACAGTAATAAAGAATCTAGTGGCGTACTTAGCCAAACTCCGAAATATCCTGTTAAAATTTGACAGCGCCGCACCTGGAATAATTGAGTCGGAGTGCTTTAATGGCTACCGTCGATTCACCTGAATAACTCAAGTAATTTGAGATTAGTTAAAAATATACAAATTAAAATAAATGAATCTATCTCACTAACGGCGTCGTAAGTTTACGTTTTTTCTTGTTCATTTTAAAGAGATCTACCAGCTGGTAAATTATAAACCTGATTTATCGTTTACATAAAAAGCGATATTAAAAAACTGTTTCAATGGCAACATCTCTAACAGAACACTGTCGCCATCACATCCGCGAGTTTAACGCCCTTATAACAAAAAGCGCTGTGCTCTCCTTTTTTGCGTCGCGCTTTTGGTTTCTGCACAACATTTCACCAAGAAAAATAATTTTTGGTGATTGATTCTATATATCTCTGCATCTGGCAGATTTTTTATCTCGAAATCTACAAAAACACTGGATACAGCAGCATTAACGTAGCTCGAAAATTAAACAAAGCTGGAAAATGTTCAAACTAGTAGCACTAATTTGGATGCTCAGTGTAAAATTACCGAACTAAGATCTGCTTATTGTATAAGCAAACCTTTGAAATACCACCATTTTTAAAATACCGTCGTTAATTATGACAAGATACCAAAATTGCGTAATAATTCGTCGTGGAACACTATTCATATTCTCCCAAACCCTGCAACATTTTTACTTACTTTTTTCACAAATTCATTGGATACAATTGTGTATGCAGAAGAATATGAATACCACAGTTAAACTAACCTTTTCATCTAGATGTTCTGCTCTAGATTCCTCAGCTTTGATTTTGAAAATATTGGTGATGGTATCAGAAATCTGGGAAATCTGTTTTAAGGCTTCCAAATCCACTTGCACGGCAATATTCTCATCAAACTCGTTGTAAATATTGTAAGAAGACAGAATCTTAGACTTTGTCTTTATGTAGTTATCACTACTCCCCTTATGTTTTACTGAGTACTCGCAGAATGAACTGTGTTCATCTTTGACATTACAAATCATATAGAAAAGCTTCTTTTTCGTAGGATTTGTCTGCATTCTCAAAATGTAGACTTTCTTGTTCATAATGAGCAGCTTCACCAAGTTCAAATCTCGCAACGAGGTTTCGAGGAAGAAAATGTTGTTTTCAAAGTTGATCACATGGTCTCCATGGCATTCTTTGAAATGCGTAGCAAAATCGTTTCTGTTCCCCTCCCAGTCGCACCCAGTGAATCTGAATAGGGCGCATAATTTGGTGCGATATCGGCAGGAATTCTGATGTGTCAAAAGGTCTTCATAAGACAAAGTTTCTTCACAGCCTTTTTGTTTATATCTGCAAAATGTTGGGGATTTTTGGTTGAAAATGTGTAACGCTTCTAAAAAAGAAAACGGAAAGAAACATTTTAACAATTTCGTTTCCCATGCCAATATTCGAAAGAATTGTTACAATCGCGAAAACATTTCGAAACTAGGATGTTTTTTTGTCTCTCTGTTGAAGCAATAAACAAATAATTCTTGAGATATTTTCAAAAACCGCTATTTATTGGAAATGTGAACTAAAACTCATCTCCTGGGTGAATCGGATGCGCAGATTTCAAATTCAACGTAAGTTTAATGGCAATGCCCATGAGGGGGGGGGGTGCCAAAAAGTTTAGCCCCGCAAAGCTTCACGATTTTTCGACAATCATATTCGGCTAGAAAATACCTTAGCATACCAAGTTTTGTTAGCTTGTAACAAGGGGAGACAAAATGGAAATCTTGAGGTTTCCTATAATATTTTCAAAAATCCTTTATTGAGGTCTCTACACCTATCTCTGGCTTCTAACTATTATGTAGGCAGTTTACATCCACAACAGTCTTGCAAACATTTGAATACATCTTCAACTAGGTATTCTCTTACATTATAAGCAGATTGTGAATATGTTGGCAAGCATAATTGACATTGACTCCAATTCAAAAAATAGAGTAATGGTAAGGATGAATAATCAAAATTGTTACTTTGATAATGTTGAAGAGCACAATTACTAACAATTGATGAAGCTTGGGATGTAAAAGAACAAGATTCATTTCTATATACAGATTGTATTTTTGGTTATTATTTTATAACTGGTTAGATTCATTTTTTGCTGATAATATCTGTGATGTAGACAAAAGCTTGTCTCCTGGGTAAATCCTTAGCATACAGTCTCAAATGACTTATTTTCTACCTCAAAGTCAGCACCACAATACTTCAAAATGTCATAGTTGAATTCAGTGCCCCATATTATTTAAGTGTATCAAATTTATTTAGTTGTGATAAAACTGATAATAGGATAAGAAAATGGAAAGTTTGACCCACGTGGGAAAGATACTGATCTTTCCTATAGAAGAAATTTCAAAAATCCTCTGATCAGAACAAAAACTCATTCTCTGGGTAAATCGTTGTGTAGATTCCAATTCTGATGCAATTTGACTCTAAGATACCAGGGGGTGGCAGGCAACCCACCATCTACCTTACATTTGGTGCCACAACATATCAAGATTGTTCAACACTATAAGATACCAGAAAGGACCAAGTTTCAATCACTTGTAACAACAGAGGATAAAAATGGAGAATTTCCACAATAAAGTCTTAAATATTCCAAGAATCCCTGATTTGGACAACAGCTAAAGCCCTGGGTTATGAATTGGGTGCATAAATACCACAACACATATCAATTTTCTATCTCAAATACACCCCCATGGTGCTTCATGGTTTTTTGAGGATAATACTAGAGTCTCTAGGTGTACCATGTTTCATATGCTTGGAATAACAGGAAATAAAAATGCTCTTCAGAGGTCTCTTTCTAGCTCTAGGTAGAAACAAAAGAAACACAGCCCACAAGCAATTTCACACAATTCTTAGGGTCTACCATTGATAAGTTAATTCTCTTTGTTACTAATGCTCTTTAAGATGTTGTGAGGGGAAAGATATGATTCTGGACTATGTCTGACTACCCCTCCTATAGACAATTGTGGGTTATACACTTGACAAATGTTATTTGATTATTGGAGATGATACAAATAAATACGTGAAAGCAACTTACCTGCAAGGGAGCTTCATCAACTTCAATATCTTCTCCATTGGTTCATTTGGCAGACTCGTCATCTGAGAAAGCTCACACTTCTCCTCATAGCAAGTCGAACAAACATTCCCAAGGTTTTGTGTTAACATTATCGGAGGCCTCAACACTTCTTTGCAAATTACGCAAGACAGGCAATTCATCTCCAAAATCTCGTCGACAAAAGATGACATTGATTGCTCTGCCATTTTTGACTGAAAATCAATATTTTATGCGAATGTACTGCACACAACAGCACAAGACATGAAAATGATGCTCTTTTGTCGCGCTAGATTAAGACGGATTTCGAAATGTATCTTGATAACAGCTTAATTGCATCATTATATTCAATTGCTAAGTTGTTGAGTATATGTTTACTTCAACAATCGTATGAACTTGTATAAAAGGTCAATGAAGCTTGGAGTATCAACACAATTTTCATTTTATTGTTTGTGCTTCTGAATGCATATTAACTGCAACATAAGTTTTAAATAGTACTTTAACTTTTAATTCGTGTCCTTACCTTCCTTTCAAAATTGAAGGGAAATTTTACCATAAATTTAAAATTACCTAACATCTATTCACCTTTTGATATAACTATAATCCGTGACATAACCCTTTACAACCACACTGACAACTATCACAGAACAAAAGTAATTTCACACAGAACATAAAACGACACAGAATCAAAACTAGCTTGGACTACCGCCTGCTAGATACTGGTTACTATTTTCAATTCAAATACCAGGGGTATACGAAAAATACATACAACCATCCAAAAGAGCTAAAAATATGAGCTGTGGACTCTCAATAATACTCTGATAAGTCATTACGTATTTTGTAAATATAGAAGAATCAGATATTTTAGTAAATTTCTTACAGTATGAATTTTATGCAAAAATCGTAATTGGACACCCAGGTCAAACTATGAATGTCGCACTTGATACTGGATGGACTCTTTCTTGGGTACTTTCGGCGAAATGCCAAGTTTTGACAACACCAGGATGCTGTAAGTAATAGCTATTTGTGTATTATAAGAGACCAAACAGCTACTTTGCCGCTCGAGATTATTATTAGGGATGAAACCAAGTACCCGGTTTTGCTGAGAATTAAATTCTTTTCATATGAACTAGTACTCAGTATTCGAATCTGAGCGAGTAAGCGGTAGTTGGCCATTTGAAAATAACGTGGTACTCGGTACATCCCTAATTATGATTATATTTATTATTTCGAGAGCGGCGCAAGTAGTTTTCATTCGAATTGCAGACAAGGCTTTTTTACAACTGCAGCTATTTACCTTTTGTTATACTATCATGTCTTGCCGTGATAGCGTGTTGCATGTTGGAAATATGTAAGAGATCCATCGCCACCTGTAGCAACCTTCTTTGCTACTTTGTCACTCTTGAGCGTCAAACTTCTGTCATTTACAATCGGTGATCAGAAATCAATAACACTGCGTGCTAGACTGCAGCTAAAACAATAGAAATAAAAAATAAATTAATGAAAAACATGGGCGGATCCATTTGTCAGGGGAAGGTCACAGGATTCATGTTCAGGAAGATATTCGTTTCCAAGATCCCAATCGCATAACTAAAAATATATTTACTACTCAGCTCTCAGAAACTGCTTTCTTCACAAATCTAAGAGATAACATTTTAACAAAGGTAAACATAAAAAATAAAATGATGACATTGTTGCCACAGCATGCTTTAAGTATATTTATTATGTTACAAAAAAAAACAAGTTGAAGAAATTATTTTTTCTGGGTGTAATATTTCTAATGTCACTAGTATAATAAGCAATGATATAAAAGACTAAGTAATATAGCCGCCGTATGTGCAACATAATAAATCAATTGAGTGGTATCTGCAACATGCCTAACTTGCTTTTGAGGTAAAATATTACCAGCCAACATATTGAAACTATAAAGTGGCATCTTTTTTTTTTTTTTATATCGAAACAGCCGCGCAGGCAGAAGCCTAAATGCCGGAACACCGCGGCTGCTATGATGATCCCAAAGAAATTTGGTTAATACGATTTTTGAACTGCCCAAGGTTAGTAGAACTGGGAAAAGCTTCCTCCCGTAGATTGTTCCACAATCTAGACACCCTCGGGACAAAGGAGCGGTCGTATCGGCCAGTTCTGGATGTACGAAGTTTGACACGGTTAGGATGGGACGCCGAAGTCAGGCGGGTCTGTCTGGCAGGCACATCGCGCGGCGGCATCATGGAAGAGAGCTCTGAGGAGCAAAGTCCGTTGGTGTAGCGATAGAAAAGAGCCAGATCGCCGACGGCCCGCCGGTGCGAAAGAGTTCCGAGACTGTCTGTTAGAGAAGAGTCATCGATCAGTCGGACCGCCCTCCTCTGGACAGCATCGAGCATGGACAATGTAGTCGGGGCGGCAGCACCCCAAATGTGTGAGCAATACTCGAGGCTAGGCCTTATCTGGGCCTTGTATAGAGTGAGAAGGTCATGCGGAGAAAAGTACTTCTTAGCCCTAAACAAATAGCCTAGCTTTTTCCCAGCAGCTGCAGCTATTGAAGAGATGTGTTCGTGCCAGATCAGGTCCTCGGTGATCTGGACTCCGACCAGCCAAAATGAATGGCTCTTTGGTAGAACTCGACCGTCCATCGAAACTGTATGAGCGCTAGGACGCTTTTTGTTCGTCAAAGTACAGTACTGTGTTTTGGAAGCATTGAACTGTACAAGATTGTTGCGTCCCCAAGCAGTGATAGCCTCCAGGTCTCTTGTCAGAGAAGAAGTCGTCGCTAGTCTTCTTTTTTCCAGCTCAGCGGCAGAGATCGGCTTGTCACTCTGAATTCCTGCATGTAGAGTGCTGTCATCAGCGAAGCTGTGGATTGGGTTGATCGTGCAGGAAAGGAGGTCGTTGATATGTAAGAGAAACAGTGTTGGAGCCAAGACCGATCCCTGGGGAACACCCGCGTTGACGTTGTGGGATGAAGAGGAGAATCCGTCAATTACGACGGATATCTTGCGGCCAGAGATAAAGTCAGCCACCCATCTGCAAAGCTTTTCTGGGAGGCCGTAGGATGGAAGTTTGCTCAAGAGGGAAGCGTGCCACAGCTGATCGAACGCTTTCGTGATGTCAAGAGCAACGACATGAGCCTCACCGTGAGACTGGATGAGTTTACTCCACAGTTGCGTGACGTAAGCTAGGAGGTCCCCTGTGGATCGTTGGTGCCGGAAACCGTACTGCCTATCGCTAATCAAGCTGTGACGTTCGAGGTAGTCCAGAAGCTCGCGATTTATGCACCTCTCCATCACTTTACTTATAACAGAAAGCAGAGCTATAGGCCTGTAGTTGTAAGGGTCGGTTTTAGATCCTTTTTTTGGGATGGGCTGTACATGAGCAAATTTCCAGTTTTCTGGGAAGGTGCCGGATTCATAAGATATCTGGAAGAGACGCGAAAGAACTGGAGCAAGCTCAGCTGCACATCTCTTCAGTACAATGGCAGGAATCAAGTCCGGACCAGAAGCTTTGTTGATCTCGAGCGACAAGAGCACTCGTCTTACGGTCTTATGCCTGAATGTTACCTCCCGCATAGTGTGGGGAACCCTTTGAATTGACGGCACTTGGGCGTTGGTAGGGACGTCCATGGTGGAGTTGGCAGCAAAGATCTTGGCTAGCACTTCCGCCTTGGCCTTTGAGTCGAATACAATAGTTCCATCCCGACACGTAAGTGGTGGAAGGCTACTGTGTGAGAAGTTCTTTTCAATCTGCTTGGCCAGCATCCAGAAAGACCGACTGCCATTGCGCTGCGACATTACCCTGTGCCTAACTTTTATATCATGCTGGGTTTTGGCGTTGCGAACCGCTTCGTTATATTTGTTTCTGGACTCCACGTCGGCTTGTCTGTTCTCTACAGTGGGGTTTTGTAAGTAGGTTCTGTGGGCCTTGATCTTCTGCTGGCGAGCAGTGTCACACGATTTGTTGAACCAGCCGTTGGACCCTGGTTTAGGAACTTTCACTGTGTGAGGGATGTATTCCTCCATTCCGACGTGGATAACTTCGGTTATTGAAGAACAGACAGTGGACGCATCCGCGTCAGTGAAACAGACATCTCTCCAAGGACAGCTAGAGAAGAAGTCTCTGAGCCCCTCCCAGTCGGCATGTCCGTAATGCCAAGTTTTGCGGCCTGTGCGAGTTTCTGCTGCCACAACGGCTTCTGACCGAAACCTAACCTCCACAACACCGTGATCTGAGTTACCCAGGGGGGACAGGACAGCAGTGCTGTAAGGGGCAGGATGCGTGGTCAGAAAGAGATCCAGCAGGCTACTGGCGTGTGACGAGACGCGGGGGAAAAAAGTAGGGCTCGTCACCAGCTGGGTCAGCCCTTGAGTAAGAGCGAACGCTTCGACTGCACGACCTGCTGCATCGGTCTTATTTGAGCCCAACCAAAGCTCATTATGGGCATTGAAATCACCGAGAAGAACTACCTCTGAAGCGGGATGATTGATGTTCAGGAAGTCGATCTGGACGGCGAGGTATTCGAGTAGGTCATCCCAGTTATGGTTCGAGGGAGAGCGATAAAGGCAGCAAATAAATTTGGGTGATGTTTTGGAGTTGAGGCGAAGCCACAGAATGTCCTTCCGGTCTGATTCCAAAGAAAGATCCCTGGAGCAGGAAAGACTGTTGCAGACAAAAGCCACAACTCCCCCTTTCTTTCTCAGATTGGAGTGCACCTCGTAGTTTGGGAAGTTGAGATGGTTAATCGGTGCAGTCTCTGAGATTTTTGTCTCCGCCAAGAAAAGCACGGCGGGACGATTGGATTGCAGGTAGTGATGAACAGCATCAATGTTGCTGTTGATCCCGCAGATGTTCGAAAAACAAATTTTATCTTCGATGTTGTTCCCTCGAGACCACCCTCCACCCGGACATTCCGAGAGTGGAGTGAGTTTACGTCCGGAGTTTTTAGTGCTCGAGGGATCCATCATCATTAATTTCTTTGTTTTCGTAGATAACCGACTGCATAGCTTAGGTGTGGAAACATGCGGACATTTATAATCTGATATTACTATTGAAGACATAAAAATTGTATGTACACGTTACTAGGCGGAACAGTCGTATCGACTAATTGTCAGCTATTCCTGTGTAAAAGCAAAAATGTGTCAACTGTTACAATTACTCAGACATAAAAAAGTATCTAGACGGTCGTATTTACAGTAACATTGTCATTAGTAATATAGCTTTGTTCGCCGGATCACAGACGGCCAACCATGGACAGCTATTTCGTGCTATTTGACAACTCCTGAGCATGGTGTAGGCTTGATCTCGGTGGACAACGAACGAAACTGAACAACTTTACTCTATTCAGAGGATAAGGTTTATCGAAATAATACAGCACAAAGTGCCATCTATTGCCAGAATCGACCACTGCGAAAGTGAAAGCTGACAATACGAACTGAGATATAGTTTCAGCAGTCAGCTTGCTGTTTTCACTTTCGCAGTGGTCGATTTTGATAATAAATTGCACTTTGTGCTGTCTTGTTTCGATTCTCATTTACAATTCATACTAATATTCGTCACTGTTCGTCAGAGCGGTGAGGTGGACCTTTGCTCTTAGTTACAAGTCTCGTCGGTCGGTTAGTCTGCCAGGTCTGGCTGCCCAGATACCAATCATGTTTAAGGGGAAAAGGGAAAGAAGTAAAGAAATGAAGGAAGAAATAGAGCAAAGAAAAGAAGTAAATCATTTGAAATAGCTTAAGCATTATTGCTTTGACTACTCGAATAATTTTGTAACTCTAAGATATACTTTTGATCGGTTTTGTATACTGTAATAATTTTGGCTGGTCTGAATCCTCAATTTAATTTTGATAGCAGTGCGAGGCGCGGCCTGGAATGTTTGCTAACTTGCTTGACTGTGTAGTCTACTGAATCACGCAACAGAGGGTTGCTGTGCGATTCGGCTTGATTATAACGCCGCTGTGCCTGTTGTTTTACATAATACCTTAGATATGGTACATCAAGATCTCTGTGAATACTTCTTCCACCGCTCTCTACAGCCTGCCGAGAACCAGGTTACCAGAACAAGACTGGGCTAGCAGTGCAGTGTCGTCAGCATAAAGATAGACTTCACAGTTGCTGGGACAAGGGATGTCATGTATATAAAGTGAATAGAGGATTGGTCCTAAGACCGAACCCTGAGGAACACCGGCTCTTGTTGACAACACATTGTTAATTTTGATCCGAAACTTCCTTCCTTCTAGAAAAGATTTCAACAGTTTTAGTAGGCAAAATGGAAAACACTTTTGGATAAGCTTATACAAGAGGCCCATGTGCCACACCTTGTCAAATGTCCTTGATACATCTAAAAGCAACATACCAGTACTTTTGTTCAGGGTGAACCCCGTGGTTACATGCTCCACCAGTCCAACTGCCTGTAGCTACGTACTATGCTCAGACCGAAAGCCGAATTGCACGTCAGGAATCACATGGTGATCTGACGAGAAATTCTCAAGGTGACGATAAATCACATTTTCAGCGAGCTTAGAAGGAACTGACAGCAGACTAATGGGACGGTAATCCTGGGGGAATATCGAACCTTCCTACTTTGGGATCATGATGACTTCAGCGATCTTCCACGCCTTAGGAAAGTAATGAGTTCTGAGCATTGCATTGATTATTGCCAACAGATAAGTCAAAGCCTTGAGCGAAAGCAACTTCAGTGCTTTGTTGGTGATTTGATCCTCTCCAGGTGCTTTACGCACCTTTAAGTCCTTAATGTGGCCTTGGAGCTCTGCTGGTGTGCAAAACGGAATCTCAGAGGATTCCGTTGCTGTGCTATGCTGAGATTCATCTGTAGTCTTCCGTAGAAGAATCTTCTGAAAAGTAGTCACCGATGTTAGCACTGACGGTGTTGTCGCCATTCGCTCTGTAATATCTCCTGACAGATCTTACAATTTGTCGTTCCTCGTCAAGGTCATTGTCCAGATCATAATTGGGAGAACTGCCTTTCCATGACGTCAGCAAAAAACCTCCACTTTATCCTCAGTCCTGAAAACTATGCCTCCAGGATCATGAATATGCGGTAGTTGTTCTTGCCTTCCGGTTCTGAGCGATTTTGCCATTTTACAGAGAGGAATACTTGATTCAAGCAACCCGCCAGAAAGTCGCTCGACTGCTCATTACGGAATTCATGGAGTGCATTTCTCACTTCATGGACGAGATTCGTCGCTCTACGAATGTCATCAGGATGACAAGACCATTTTGCTTGGTTAATCGCAGCCCTCTTTTCAGAAATTTTCCGACGGATGTCAGCAGGGAGAAAAGGTCTGCCGTGTCGCTGCACTGGAAGCACAGCAGCACGCTGTAGAGTTTGGTGAACGAAACTTGCCCACTCCGATTGAGCAGCATTAATTGCGTTCTTATAATGTATGACCGGGACGCTGGGAAACTCTTTGAGAAATGTAGTTCGCAATCAACTCTTTTCCTTGAAGGAGTTTCCTCCTCCACGAAATGCCCATTACCTACTTCCAGAACAACAGGTAGATGGTCACTAGAGATGTCATACAAGATCCTAGAAACAATACTGAACCTACAGTTTTTAGATATTGCAAAGTCTATAACATCCGGTGCCTGAAGATGATTGAATGGTGTGCCGGTTCTTCGGTGCTGTGAATAAGATACCAGTTTCGAATCACATGGTTGTAAAGCCGAACCCCACAAGTAGAGTTAAGCCTGGAATGCCATGATCGGTGTTTGCAGTTGTAGACCCCTGCCGCAATAAGAGGTCCCGAACAGTCCAGAAGGACTTCCAAGTCCTCCTCTCGCAGCCTGGGACCGCACCTGACATACACCGAGGTGATCTTCAACTGAATGCATCCCGTCATATTGACCACCACGGACGCCATTTCAATGCTTTGCATCTCGGCGTTCGTGCTTCGGTGATAGTCAATACCACGTTCAACGAGCACAACCAAGCCACCACCCCTACCATCCAATCTGTCAGCGCGTATAACATGATAATTCGAGAAAGCAATCTCCCGGATTAAGTAATGTTTCCTGCAGGTTTTGAGGGGACTGACTTGAATTTGGATTTTGCTTTTGGAAGAGGTGGGAAGTCATCCGTCTTGTCGGTTTTCTTCGTTTTGTCGCTGTGTCTTTTCCTAGACTTGGCCTGGATGAATCCGTCATTCTGTATTTCATCGTCGGTCGATGTCACGTCAGTCAAATTTTCCAGGTCTTTTCAAATTGACCGTCTTGTCAAATTTAGAACTAAAATTTGGATTATTGATTAACTGTGTTACCTGGGTGGTCAGGTCATGCTTTGGTCTCTAACTGTCTCAGTCAGTTCCTTTATTTGCTGGGCCGGGCTTTCGATGATCAGGGTCAGTCATTGGATGGTTCTGTCCTTTTCGTCTGCTACAGCTGGTGTCGTCTATTCCTTTGATTTCATGGTAATTTATGTTCTCTCCTTCTGTCTGGCTCCATGCATCATCAGGGACGCTGGGGGATCCTTACTTTGACCTCCAGAGTCTATCTCCATGTTTTTAAATCGGATTTTCTAACGAAAAACTTTCACGAGCAAAACTATGACGTATTGTCAATTATCCCTTATACAGGTCGATTTTTACAATTCACATACCTTAGTAAAACATGACATTTGTGCACGTCAAAACGTCAAATAAGAATGTAGGATTTTAAAAAAACTTTTACTTTTTGCCTGAAAATTCTTACGAATGAGTAGAGAAAATGCCTAGGTGTCCAAAATCGCATATGCATGAAAATTGCAGATACCACCCTGTGCTCGGCAGTATTGCTATATTTCTCGAAAATGTAAATTTTTAGGGTTCCATAATATGTACGACCATACCAGATCCTCTAAATATAAGAAAGATGGGACACCATACGTGGGGAATGAAGGAAAATACAATTTAACTGGATTTTACTCGTACGAAACTATTTCTGTATGTATATTATCACTTTTATATACGAGGTTCTAAAAATTTGTTCCTAAGACATTTTGATTACGAAGTTTCCTGAATAACGTCATATTAGCGCTTTGATTTGAGCTCTTGCATTGTCGGGAAAAAAAATGGTTTTCAAATTGAAATCGGAAACATGGTTAACTAAACCATGTTTTCATTTTTGGAGAGTTTGGTTTCATGGTTTATTTTTTTTCTAGGTGGCACATTCTAACGTAACAAATTTCAGATTCGTTGAAATGGATAACGTCCCTTGGACATATCTTTTCAGTAAAGTTGATGGTTTGCTAGGTTTGGGCATCAGAGGACCTAAAGATGATGAACCATTTTTCTATGCCCTTCATAGGGAGAATAATATTACGAATTTTCTCTTTTCTGTATATATGAACAGGTACGAATTATTTTCCAAATGAAGCTATTTCATACAATAATAACAGTCTACTTTTAGGGATCGACAATCAACTCATGGTGGAAATGTCATCTTGGGATTTATTCAAGACAAACATATACACCAAACACAGTTCAAAAATGGAACAAAAATTCATGACAAAATTAAATTTTTACCGGTAGAGCCAGGTCAATATTGGAAGTTTTCTGTAGATAAGTAAGTTTTTATAATATGGCATTATGATTTTCAAATCAATCTTGGGCATGTTTGTAATGAAGAACATGAGTTTGATAATCTGAGTGACGTAGGTCATGAAAGGGAAATAACAATATAAACGAGATTGTTGTTGAATCAACAACAATCTCGTTAGTACTACAAGCCCTCCCTTTGGTTACAGTGGTCCTTTTAAACTACTATGAGCAGTTGGATGGCAAATCTCCGGTAAATTTCACCCACAGTTTTTCCCAAAAGATCGGTGCGTGGGTTTAAAAAAAGAAAAACGAATTCGCGGTCCTGATTGAGTCAACTTTAGTGGTAAAAAGCTAAAGTGAGCATCTCTTGACCAAATACGGATGGATGGCAAGAGCGTGCCCAGGTCAAAAATTTGTTTGTGGTTCCAAATCATATCTACATATCCAGTTCGTTGCAAGAGTTAATTGGTTATTGCTAAAAATCGATCTTTTTTGCCGAAAAGTGCATGAGAGTAAATATGAAATAGTAGCCGAAAGTTAAAGCCTTTGTAGTGATTAACATCGAAAAAAATCTTCAAAAATCTTGAAGGTATCTTGCGACGAAAGTCTGCTACAACAAATTAGACATGCATGTTGAGTTTTTAGTACTCAATTGGACAACATCTCCATTACTATAAAACATAACCAAAAATGTTATTTACAAAAATTGTCGACTATACGGTTCTTAGTTCCTTCTATTCGCCCTGTATAAGGGATAATTGACAATACTCGTACGTCATATTTTTGCTCGTGAAAGTTTTCAAGTTTTTCAATAGAAAATCCGATTTAAAAACATGGAGATAGACTCTGGAGGTCAAAGTAATGATCCCCCAGCGTCCCCGATGATGAATAGACCCAGCCAGAAGGAGAGAACAGAAATTACCATGCAATCAAAGGAATTGATGACACCAGCTGTAGCAGACGAAAAGGACAAAACCATCCAGCGTCAGACCCTGATCATCGAAAGCAAGGCCCAGCAAATAAAGGAGCTGAGACCATGAAATCAAAGAAATTGATGACACCAGCTGTAGCAGACGAAAAGGACAGAACCATCCAGCGCCAGACCCTAATCATCGGAAGCCAGTTCCAGCAAATGAAGGAGCTGACTGAGACCATGAAATCAAAGGAATTGATGACACCAGCTGTAGCAGACGAAAAGGACAGAACCATCCAGCGCCAGACCCTGATCATCGAAAGCCAGGGCCAGCAAATAAAAGATCTGACTGAGACAGTTAGGGACCAAAACAGTAAAATAGACTGCCTGACCACCCAGGTAACACAGTTAATCAATAATGCAAATTTTAATTCTAAATCTGACAAGGCTGTCAATTTAAAAAGACCCCTTGAAAATTTAACTGACGTGACATCGACCGACGATGAAATATAGAATGACGGATTTATCCAGGCCAAGTCTAGGAAAAGACGCATCGACAAAACGAACAAAACCGACAAGACGGATGACTTCCCACCTCTTCCAAAGGCAAAATCAAAATTCAAGTTAACAGTCCCCTCAAAACCTTCTGTTTCATTAAACGGATCAACCTCTTCTGCCACTTGTCCTATGACGGTCGATGCAGCGACCACATTTTCTCAATCTTTGGCCACTGCATCGACTGACGGTGCATTATCTCAACAATCTCACGTTGCTAGTGAGTTGACCAGAACAGCACCCCGCCAGGGGCGAATCACGCCAATTGTTTTGCGTGATGCGGCCAAGTGGCGACATCTAAACTACACCTTTATAAGCTTAGGCATTAAGATAGAACGCGCAGTTGCTGTTGATGCGGGAATCAGGATTTTGCCGAAAACTGACTACCGAAGAATCGTTCGCCTGTTCAGGGAGGAGGACGTGCCCCATCATATGTTCCCTCTTCCTTCAGAATGAAATATTCACGCGATAGTCAGAGGCATACCCGCAATGTTTTCGGAACAGGGGATCAAAGGGGAATTAGAACAGAGGGGATATACTCCTCTCCACATTATCCGACTCAAACGCAGTGGCGGCGCCCCCATGCCTTTGGTGGTCGTGATACTGCCCAAGATTAAAAAGTCCCAGCAGCTGTTCAATGAACATGAGCTTCTGGGTCTAGCAATAAGAATTGAAGTTCAACAGAACTCCAGACTATTGGTGTCACCGCTGCCAAAGATATGGTCGCGGTGTGTGAACTGTGGAGGGGCGCATCCCGCTAACAGTCCCACTTGCAGATTCACTCCCAGGCGAAATCTGGAAGCTATAGCGCAAAGTCGCAGCAAGTCATACGCGGAAGCAGCCGTCTCAACATCTTCGGCTGCCTCCTGTATTCAACCCACTTTGAACACGCTGAATATGGACCTAGCAACTGCGCTTAGGTCCCTTCAACAAATAATAAGTCCTCTAATTAGCGCCACTCAGGCATTGCAGGCGAACTTTCGCAGCCATTGAATGGCAAAGTACAATAGACAACCTGCATTTATCAAAATTCTTTCTTGGAATTGTCTGGGTCTAAGGGATATTCCCAAAAAACGGGAATTTCATCAAACTCTATCGGACATTACTTAAACCGGGAGATCGCTTAGTTTTCTCGAATTATGATGTTATACGAGCCGACAGATATGGTAGGGGTGGTGGCTTGTCAGTGCTCGTTAAACGCGGTATTGACTATCACAGAAGCACAAACGCCGAGATGCAAAGCATTGAAGCGGCGTCCGTGGTAGTCAATATGGCGGGATGCATTCCGTTGAAGATCACCTCGGTGCATGTCAGGTGCGGTGCCAGGCTGCGAGAGGAGGACTTGGAAGTCCTTCTGGACTGTTCGGGCCCTCATATTGTGGCAGGGGACGACAACTGCAAACACCGATCATGGTACTCAAGGCTTAACTCTACTTGTGGGGTTCGGCTTTACAACCATGTGATGCGAAACGGGTATCTTAACAGCACCGAAGAGCCGACACACCATCCTTTCAATCACCTTCAGGCACCGGATGTTATAGACTTTGCAATATCTAGAAACTGTAGGTTCAGTATTGCTTCTAGGATCTTGTATGACATCTCTAGTGACCAACTACCTATTGTTCTGGAGGTAGGTAATGGGCATTTCGTGGAGGAGGAAACTCCTCCAAGGAAAAGAGTTGATTGGGAACTATACAAGTCATTTCTCAAAGAGTTTCCCAGCGTCCCGGTCATACATGATGAGAACGGAATTGGTGCTGCTCAATCGGAGTGGACAAGTTTCGTTCACCAAACTCTGCTGTGCTTCCGGTGCACCGACACGGCAGACCTTTTCTCTCTGCTGACATTCGTCGGAAAATTTCTGAAAAGAGGGCTGCGATTAAGCAAGCAAAAAGGTCTTGTCATCCTGATGACATTCGTAGAGCGGCGAATCTCGTCCATGAAGTGAGAAATGCAGTCCATGAATTCCGCAATGAGCAGTGGAGCGACTTTCTGGCGGGGATGCTTGAATCAAGTATTCCTCTTTGGAAAGTGGAAAAATCGCTCAGAAACGGAAGGCAAGAACAACTACCACATATTCATGGTCCTGGAGTCATAGTTTTCAGGACTGCGGATAAAGTGGAGGTTCTTGCTGGCGTCATGGAAAGGCAGGTCTCTCCCAATTATGATCTGGACAATGACCTTGACGAGGAACGACAAATTGTAAGATCTGTCAGGAGATACTTCAGAGCGAATGGCGATACCAACATCGGTGCTAGCATCGGTGACTCCTTCAGATGAATCTCAGTATAGCACATCATCGGAATCCTCTGCGATTCCGTTTTGCACACCAGCAGAGCTCCAAGGCCACATTAAGGACCTAAAGGTGCGTAAAGCACCTGGAGAGGATCAAATCACAACAAAGCACTGAAGTTGCTTTCACTCAACGCTTTGACTTATCTGGTGGCAATAATCAATGCAATGCTCAGAACTCATTACTTTCCTAAGGCGTGGAAGGTCGCTGAAGTCATCATGATCCCAAAGAAGGCAGGTTCGATATTCCCCCAGAATTATCGTCCCATTAGCCTGCTGTCAGCTCCTTCTAAGCTCGCTGAAAATGTGATTTATCGTCACCTTGAGAATTTCTCGTCAGATCACCATGTGATTCCTGACGTTCAATTCGGCTTTCGGTCTGAGCATAGTACGGAGCTACAGGCAGTTAGACTGGTGGAGCATGTAACCAGGGGGTTTACCCTGAACAAAAGTACTGGTATCTTGCTTTTAGATGTATCAAAGGCATTTGACAAGGTGTGGCTCATGGGCCTCTTGTATAAGCTCATCCAAAAGGGTTTTCCATTTTGGCTACTAAAACTGTTGAAATCTTTTCTAGAAGGAAGGTAGTTTCGGATCAAAATTAATAGTGTTGTCAACAACACGGCCCGTAAGAGCCGGTGTTCCTCAGGGTTCGGTCTTAGGACCAATCCTTTATTCACTTTATGTTCATAAAGTCCCTTGTCCCAGCAACTGTGAAGTCTATCTCTATGCTGACGACACTGCATTGCTAGCCCAGTATTGTTCTGGTAACCTGATTCACGACAGGCTGCAGAGTGCGGTGGAGGAAGTATTGGAATGGGCGGATCGGTGGTTGATTGAAATTAATACTTCGAAAACGCAGGCAATCTATTGTACTAAAAAACGTCGCGGTGCCCCCTCAGAGATATCAGTGAAAGGAACCATGGGAGCAATCTGTCAGGTATCTTGTAGTCATCATTGACAACGGGTAGACCTGGCAGTAACATACTGATATTTTGAAAACAAAATTCCAAATTACCTTTCGGCAGCTTTATCCTTTGTTGTGCAGAAATTCAAAATTAAGTTTGATCAACAAGATTTGGTTGTATAAAATGGACATAAGACCCGCAATCACCTACACATGCGCGGCTTAGTGTTTTCTTGCCAAGACGCACATGCAGAGACTGCAAGTCCTGCTAAACAGAACCCTACGCATAATTACTAACGCCCCTTGGTACGTGTCAAATGAGACTATTCACAGAGATCTTAATATCCGATATCTAAGGGATTACGTAAAACAACAGGCGCAGCGGCGTTATAATCAAGCGGAATCGCACAGCAACCCTGTGTTGCGTGATTCAGTAGACTACATAGTCGAGCAAGTTCGCAAACATTCCAGGCCGCGCCTCGCACTGTGATCAAAATTATAGTAAATTGTAAATTCAGACCAGCCAAAATTATTTCAGTACACAAAACCAATCAAAATTATTTTTTGGAGTTACAAAATAATTCGAGTAGTCAAAGCAATAATGCTTAAGCTATTTCAAATGATTTAATCCTTTTCTTTGCTCTATTTCTTCCTTCCTTTCTTTCCCTTTTCCCCTTAAACATGTTTGGTATCTGGGTAGCCAGACCTGACAGACTAACAGACCGACGAGACCAAGAGCAAAGGTCCACCGGACCGCTCTGACAAATAATGACTAATAGTAGTACGGTTCTTACTTGGAATATACTGCGCCCTACAGGGTGATTCATTCCGACATAACAACAAAACGTTTTTTTAAATAGAACATCGTATATCTTTTGGTTTATTCTAATATACCACTTCAAAAGGAGAAGTTTTCTTTATCGATATTTATTCGTGGTTTTTCTACTCGTACAATTACTGCGAGATTTTTTCATATAGGCAAAATTAGTTGCACAGAATATGCATAAGGATATGTACTTAGTTTACTCTAGAATGATTTGAAAAACAAATTTATTATATTTCACCACAGAGATACAAGGAGAAGGGAATTAATTATGAATTTCCCAAAATCGTTTCTATTTTTCCTGAATCTATTTGAGGATTTCAATATAAACTGCATACGGTATTGACATTGTCACTTTTTCTCAACTTTGATTTCAAATATCATACAATATTATAAAAGAAATTGAGTAAGGATTGAAATGATCATATAGTCATTTATTTAATAGGATATCAAAAATGATAACATTAATGAGGAGCAACATAATGTAACTCATTTATATTATTTGAGGGTAATTATGAAGACATCAAAAAGGGTATGATTTTAAAAAACTGAGAGCTGAAGCGTCAGATCGAAATTCTAATCAAGTTACCGTGTAGAAGAGAAAAAATTGCAATGATATTGTGTAATGTGTTTGAAATTTGTAGATAATGGTTATGTTTGACAAAGTTTTGTTTCGGACTAAAGACAGGAAAAAATAAAAACGACTTAGAGTAAATTCGTTCCATTTTTTATTTACCAACGCCCATAAGGTAATCCGCGTCGTATAGTTATCATGAGATTGATGTGATATTTATTAACCGTGTGGCCTGGACATCATAATTATTAATGCATAATGTTACTGAAATCCACTGATGGTACGGACCACCATAAATTCTGATCGTGTGACACTAGCTTTACCGTTTCCGAGATCCCAAAGGCAAGGTTCGAATTTGAAACACACGTAACATAATATATAGCGGTTTTAGCAAAATTATTTATATCTTATATAGATTTCAACTAATCCTAGTAATTTCTTATCTAATAGATATTGATTCAGCTTTTGGAGTACGATGAATTGAAAAAACAAATGAATTTTCAAGACTATCGCTTGAGCTGTTTATTACAAAATTACATTTTTATGCAAATCGTCAAGGTCTAAGTTGCCATCCGTCAAGGGCGTACCCAGGACATGAATAATGTAATTTTAGTTAACATGATCTCTGCATTTGATTTTTGCCAATCTAGCGAAGTTTGGGTTAGCTGTCCCTCCTTGCGCGCCCCTGGGTGCGCCCTTGACGGATGGCAAGTTAGACCTTGACGATTTGCATAAAAATGGAATTTTGTAATAAACAGCTCAAGGATAGTCTTTAAAATTTACTTGTTTTTTCAATTCATGAGGCACTGTTTCGCCGATAGCGAACATCATATGTTTCTCCGTTGTCATTTACCCGTTTTAAGAATGAGGGCTATAAAAACTGTAACTTATAATATATATTTGTCATATTCTTAGGGTAACAGTAAAATCAGACACAAATGATACAGATATAACGACATTATGCCCTAATGGTTGTAAAGCTATATCTGATACTAGCTCGTCGACAATTACTGGGCCAGAAGATGAAGTTGATAAAATACATGAGCTGATTAAAGCTCAGAAGTTTCCATTTGGCGGAATTTGGACGGTAAGAAATATAATAAAATTAAGTGATGAGACTGTTTTTTTAATTTCTTTACAGACCTCGTATGTGGTGTTGCAAAGATAACTGATATAAATATTCCTACTTAATTCGCTATGTGTACTGCATGATAGATTTTCAAACAGCAAGTTGATTTAGCTTAACTGTATAAACCTATTTTCATAAAACCCTATCTTTTAAATGACTAATGTACATACTCTTATTACGCCTCGTATAATAAGCGCTTCAAAATCATCTTACGTTACA